CTTGTGAGAACGTCCGTCCGTCCGTCACAAAACTTTTGTCCGGACTACTGCTCATAAACTTACTGGTGCAATTTCAACCAAACTTTACAGGAATGATTCAGTACCAAGTCTTGTTGTGTATATTGTCAGCATTTTCCGGTCAATGATTTTTGTCAGAGAAATGGCCCTTTAATAATTTTTAATTTTAAAGTTTGTCCGGACTACTTCTCTTATACCACTAATGCAATTTCAATGAAACTTTACAGGATTGATCTGTAGCTCAAGTCCTTGCGCATATTGCACGGGTTTTCCGGTTGAATGATTTTTGGCCGAGTTATGGCCCTTTGATAAAAAGGTGTTTTTTTCTATGTGTTGCCAGATACACAAAAGCTTGTCCGGACTACTCGTGCTATTTCATCCAAACTTTACAGGAATGATCAGTACCAAGTCTAGTTGTGCATATTGTCAGCATTTTCCAGTTCAAAGATTTTTGTCTGAGTTATGGCCCTTTAATAATTTTTATTTTTAAAGTTTGTTCGGACTACTTCTCTTATACCACTTATGCAATTTCAATGAACTTTACAGGATTGATCTGTAGCTCAAGTCCTTGCGCATATTGCACGGGTTTTCTGGTTGAATGATTTTTGGCCCAGTTATGGCCCTTTGATAAAAAGGTGGGTTTTTTTCAGTGTGTTGCCAGATACACAAAAGCTTGTCCGGACTACTCCTCATAAACTACTGGTGCAATTTTATCCAAACTTTACAGGAATGATCAGTACCAAGTCTAGTTGTGCACTGTCTGTTTGTCACAAAATTTGTCCCAACATGAAATTGGCCATCATGAGGCGACATGTGTGATTACTGATCGCTCTTGTTCTTAAGTTCTACCTGTACCAATTGCTTCTTAGTTTACACACTTACTAATCATACAAAGTACATGATCTGGTCAAGTTACATAACTATGACTTCCGTATTTACCGAGTTATTGCCCTTTTCAGCACTTAGAAAATGAATAATGGTTAACCTAAAACGGCAAGTTTGAAATATCTTCAAGTTCTATCTATACTAATGGCTTCATAATTTCCACACTTACTTATCAATACAAAGTACGTGATATTGCCAGTTATATAACTGTGTCATCCATATTTCCCAGTTATTTCCCTTTTTTCACTTTGAAAATAGGGCCTTGTCTGGTTAACCTATTTCGGCAAGTTGGATTTATCGTAAATTTCTCTTAATTGCTTAATTTCTTTAATGATATCTTGCATATTTGGTAGGTGGATACCTTTAATGGTCCTCTAATTTTTTGTGGAGTAAATGGTCTCTAGGGTCAAGGTCAATCAAGGTCACTGGTTTAGAAAATAAATTTAAACATTTTTGCTCATACAGCCTTTATTTTTTGGTCGATGTCTTTCATGTTTAATACAAACATGCTAAGGGAGGTCCTCCTTCTTTGGGTATAATAAGGGGTAATTTGGGTCAAGGTCAATGTCACCAATGTCAAGGTCACCAATGTTAAAAATAGATTTTTACAGGTGTATTAACCATATTCTCTAGACAGATGTCATTTATAATTGATAGGAACATAAAATTTGATGGAGTGAGTGGTCAGTTGGGTGAAGGTCACCAGTGCTAAAAATAGTTTTTTACACTTTTGCTCATACAGCCTTTATTTATTGACAGATATATTTCATATTTGATAGGAAGATAACTTGCATGGTATTCTTCCTTTTGATTGAGTTAGGGATCAGTGTGTCAAGGTCACTAGTGCTAAAAATTGATTTTTACACTTTTGCCCATACAGCCTATATTTATTGACAGATATATTTCATATTTGGTAGGAAGATAACTTGCATGTTATTCTTACTTTGGATGGAGTTAGGGGTCAGTTGGGTCAAGGTCACAAGTGCTAAAAATAGTTTTTTTTTACACTTTTGCCCATACAGCCTTTATTTATTGACAGATTTATTTCATATTTGGTTGGAAGATAACTTGCATGGTATTCTTCCTTTGGATAGAGTTAGGGGTCAGTTTGGTCAAGGTCATCAATGCTCAAAATAGATTTTAACATTTTTGCCCATACAGCCTTTATTTATTGACAGGTGTATTTCATATTTGGTAGGAAGATAACTTGCATGATATTCTATAGGTGTCAGTTGGTCAAGGTCAAGGGTGCCAAGTATAGATTTCTTACATTTATATATATTTGATAAAGTTGAATATTTATCACTTCACAAGTCAGAGCAATGACTTGGCAACTTATATTTTTCACAATTACAAAATGCCATGACTTTGTCAAGCTATATAACTTGTGTTTACAATTTTTTGGCAATGTTTCTGTCCATAACTGAGTGAATGGGTAAACATTTTTTGAAATATTGCTACTGACAAGAATCTGAGCCGGGGGCATTTTTGTTTAACAAACACGTTCTTGTTTGAAATATTGCTACTGACAAGAATCGGAGCCGGGGGCATTTGTGTTTAACAAACACGTTCTTGTTTTTGTTTTTTTTTTGCTTTATGATATCTAGAATACTATACAACCTGTGCATTTTAGCATCACATAGAAATTAATAATTATGCCCCCACTTCGAAGAAGAGGGGGTATATTGCTTTGCACTTGTCGGTCCGTAGACCAAATGGTTTCCGAGTGATAACTAAAGAACCCTTAGGCCTAGGAACTTCAAACTAGGTATGGTGATTGGTCATGACCAGTAGATGACCCCTATTGATTTTGGGGTCAATGGGTCAAAGGTCAAGGTCACATTGACCTTGTAAGCAAAAACGGTTTCCGATCAATAATTAAAGAACCCTTAGGCCTAGGAACTTCAAACTTGGTATGGTGATTGGTCATGATGAGTAGATGACCGCTATCGATTTTGGGGTCAAGGGGTCAAAGGTCAAGGTTACATTGACCTCTTAGGTAAAAACGGTTTCCGAGCAATAACTAAAGAACCCTTAGGCCTAGGAACTTCAAACTTGATATGGTGATTGGTCATGACCAGCAGATGACCCCTATTGATTTTGGGGTCAAGGGGTCAAAGGTCAAGGTCACATTGACCTTGTAGGTAAAAACGGTTTCCGATCAATAACTAAAGAACCCTTAGGCCTAGGGACTTCAAACTTGATATGGTAATTGGTCATAATCAGTAGATGAACCCTATTGATTTTAGGGTCAAGGAATCAAAGGTCAAGGTCAAATTGACCTCTTAGGTAAAAACGGTTTCCGATCAATAAGTAAAGAACCCTTAGGCCTAGGAACTTTAAACTTGGTATGGTGTTTGGTCTTGACCAGCAGATGACCCCTATTGATTTTGGGATCAAGGGGTCAAAGGTAAAGGTCACATTGACCTTGTAAGTAAAAACGGTTTCTGATCAATAACTAAAGAACGCTTTGGCCTAGGAACTTCAAACTTGGCATGGTGATTGGTCATAACAAGCAGATGACCCCTATTGATCTTGGGGTTAAAGGTCAAGGTCACATTGACCTTGTAGGTAAAAACGGTTTCCGATCAATAACTAAAGAACGCTTAGGCCTAGAAACTTCAAACTTGGTATGATGATTGGTCATGACCAGCAGATGACTCCTATTGATTTTTGGGTCAAGGTGTCAAAGGTCAAGGTCACATTGACCTTGTAGGTAAAAACGGTTTCCAATCAATAACTAAAGAACGCTTAGGCCTAGAAACTTCAAACTTGGTATGATGATTGGTCATGGCCAGCAGATGACCCCTATTGATTTTGGGGTCAAGGGGTCCAAGGTCAAGGTCACATTGACCTTGTAGGTAAAAATGGTTTCCGATCAATAACTAAAGAATGCTTAGGCCTAGGAACTTCAAACTTGGTATGATGATTGGTCATGACCAGTAGATGACCCCTATTGATTTTGGGGTCAAGGGGTCAATGTCATATTGACCTTGTACTTAATGACGGTTTCTGACCAATAACTCAACAACTCAAGTTGCCTTGGTTGATATTTTTATATTAAACTAAAAATGCTTTTGGTATACACATTTGAAGGTCTTATGTAATATAACAACTTGGCTGTCATTAATGAGGCCTACATGATTCATAAAATTTATGCATATATTATTTGGTAAGATTTGTAATAACTTAAATTGCTTCACACAACCTATGGGGTCACAATTATTATTACCTTGTGACTAGTCATGACCAGTAGATACTAGATAACTGATAACCCTTATTAATTGTTTGTTCACTGGGTCAGAAGTCCTGCATAATAACCTGATCACATGACTAATTGGCTGCCGATAGGGGGCATACATGTTTTACAAACATATCTTGTTAAACAGCACTTAGTATGAGTTTAAGACAAATTATTCAACCTCTAAAATGTTATTAGCACCCTGTAATACACTTTAAAGTGAATTGGACTACAATAGAAGGTCTGTAATAAGATAAATGATTAAGTTGATAGTATTTAGTATCGAACATAACAACAAACCACAAATGAATTATATAAATGAATGTTGTTGGCAAGATACATGATCTAATAGAACATTTATTCACAAACAGTAGAACTTTGGTAAAGTTGAAGGGACTTGTATAAAAACTTTGACACATTGGGACTTCGACTCAAGAATCGGTCTCAATTTAATGACAAAATTTCTAGCCTTCATTGTTAACAAGTGAGTAGCAAAAGGTGTAAGAAAAGGAAAGGGCCCTAACTAAACCAGCTTATGGTAAATATATCCTATGTGATTATCATGTTTGTACTCCATTTATTTTATACAGACCAAGAAAAAACTTCAACACATTGAAAAATTCGACACTTGAAATTTCAACTTGTATATTTGTTTGTTTTTATAAGGGACTTTCATTTTACTTCGACACATTGAGAAAATTAACTTATCAAAGTATGAGAAATTGATATTGTTGACCAATCAACTTTAAACAGCTCATATGGCCAGATATATTCTTAAATAATTCATAAGTTATACTGCTGATTTGTTTGTCTCAGACCTAGGTGTTGCAGTTTATATCACAGACTGAAATAATTTGTATTAATTTTCTATTTTCAGGAACATATTAAAGATGAATGTTTAGTAGTCCCACTGGAATGTCCTTTCAGTTGTGGTAGTCAGCCTATGGCTAGAACAGAGGTATTAAAGTACCTTAAACATCATTCATTTTATCGTTATTTTTCCCCATGTTGTGGATCCCCTATGGCTAGGTCACCAGTGGTCTACATAAAGACATGAATCATGATGTTATTTCAGGAAGGAGAATGTCTACAGATATTGTTTCTAATCTTCACATGTTCAGTAAAGATTGAAGGCTTGTACATTGTGTATTTCCTAAATTTGCTACTTGCTTAAATAAACCTTATATATAAGGTAAAATGTGCAATTGTCTTGAAGCAATTTCTCTTATATATGATATAACAGTTAAAGTTACATGTATATTATTAGTTATAAAAAAAAATTTGAGAGGTTATATGGCCCAAATGGTTGTTTGCATATATAACCTAAGCTGCTAGGCAAGGATTATATTTCAAATACTGTAAAATCATTATTATTCGTGGGGCACGATTTTTTTGTGGTTTTCATGGGTAGGTCAATCCACGAATTTAAGATCCGACGAAATTTTATCCCAACAAAAACTTCTTGCCATGTCTCTATTCTATTTATTAAAAACATGCATCAGCGCTTTTCCGCCGATTTTTGTGTAATGAATGCCCAGAGGCAAGGATTAAATTAATTGACAATCGCTGTTTGATACATAAAGATATGTACTTGCTGTAAGTAAAATGTGCTGCGATTAATTGTCAGATTACTTTGCATTAGGTTATTTATTTTACTTTTTTTTACAAGAAATTGAAAATCCACAAATTTAAGAACCCACGAAAATGCCCGTTTTGATAAAACCACGAAATTTCATGCCCTTGTGGATTTATTCATTATTTGAAGTGAATTCACAGTAACCATATTGTAAAACGAATTTACAAATGTACAGTATTATAACATCTTTTTAGAAACAATATATCAAACTCAGCTGAAGATAATTTCAACCTTTATTTGATAAAGTATGAACATTTAATATCTAACTTTTTATTATACCACCGCAGCATTTGCGATGCGGTGGCATATAGCGATTCACCTGTGTGTATGTGTGTGTTGGTGTGTGTGTTTGTTTGTGTGTGTGTTCTATAGATCATATAGTGAACTTAAAAATCTTGTGAAAAACCACTAGTCCAATTTCAACCAAACTTGACAGGATTGATCCTTGGGTGAAGGGCTTCCAAAGCTGTTCAAAGAATTTCATTCCATGCAGAAATCTGGTTGCCATGGCAACCAAAAGGAATTAAAAGAATAAATTTAAAAAATCTTTTTGTAAAGACCCAAAAGGCCTAGAGCTTAGATATTTTGCATAAGGCATTGTCTGGTAGACCTCTACCAAGCTTGTTCAAATTATAGCCCTGGGGTCAAAATCAGCCACGCCCCAGGGGTAATTGATTTTCACTATATGTACATATAGTAAAAACTTAAAATACCTTCTTGTAAAGACCCAAAAGGCCTAGAGCTTAGATATTTTGCAAAAGGCATTGTCTGGTAGACCCTTACCAAGATTGTTCAAATTAAAGCACTGGGGTCAAAATCGGCCCCGCCCGGGGGTCATTGATTTTCACTATATGTACATATAGTAAAAACTTAAAATGCCTTTTTGTAAAGACCCAAAAGGGCCAGAGCTTAGATAGTTTTTGCATAAGGCATTGTCGGGTAGACCTCTACCCAGATTGTTCAAATTATAGCGCTGGGGTCAAAATCTGCCCTTCCCCGGTGGTCATTGGTTGTCCTTATATGTATATAGTAAAAACTTATAGTAAAAACTTTTTAAAAAATTTCTTCTAGCAATTGACAAATGCTAGAGGTTAGATAAATTTGCATGAAACATTGTGTAGTAAACCTCTAGCAAGATTGTTCAAATTATAGCCCTGGGGTCAAAATTGCCCCCGTCCCTGGGGTCATTGATTTTCAATATATACATATAGTAAAAAATAAAAAAATCTTATTGTCTGAAGGTACAAGGCTTAGAGCTTTAATATTTGTTAAAGGATATCATCTATAGGTACTCTACCAAAGTTGCTCAAATTTTGCCTCTTGTGTCAAAATTAGCCTTGCCCCGGGGACCATAGGTTTTCCTTATATGTATATAGTATAAACTTAAATATCATCTTCTCTGAATTTACAAAGGCTAGAGTTAAGAAATTTTGCATGAAACATTGTGTTGTAAACCTCTAGCAAGATTGTACAAATTATAGCCCTGGGGTCAAAATTGGCCCCACCCCTAGGGGTCATTGATTTTCACTATGAACATATAGTAAAAAATTAAAAAATCTTCTTGTCTGAAGGTACAAGGCTTAAAGCTTTTATATATTTGGTATATAATATCATCTATGGTCCTCTACTAGAATTTTTTATAATGCCCCTAGTGTTAAAATTGCCCTGCCCCAGAGGTGATAGTTTTCCTTATATGTTTAAAGTAAAAACTTGAAAAATCTTCTTCTCTGAATTGACAAAGGCTAGAGGTTAAATATATGGCATGAGACTTTGCGAAGTGAACCTCTACCAAGATTGTTCAAATTATAGCCCTGGGATCAAAATTGGTTCCACCCCGGGGGTCATTGATTTTCATTATGTACATCTAGTAAAAAAAATTATTTTATATTTTTGTCTGAAGGTACAAGGCATAGAGCTTTGATGTTTGCTATATAATATCATCTATAGTACTGTACCTCTACCAAAGTTGTTCAAATTTTTCCCCTGGTGTCAAACTAAGCCTTGCCCGGGGGCAGTGATTCTCATTATGTACACATAGTAAAAACAGAAAATAAATCAAATGTTTTCTGAATGGGAGAAAGCTACAGCTTAGATATTTGACTTGAAATGTTGTTTGGTGGACCTGTATCAAGATTGTTTTGAATTAAACCCTTGGGTCAAAATTTTGCCTTGCCCAAGGGGACAGTGACCTACTTTCTTGTCCTTTGATGTACAGCAATGAAATTTTGACTATGTACACAGTTTAAGTTGTAAAATTGAACTTTGATATCATGTGACCTAGATTTTGATGATGTGACCTACTTTCTTGTGCTTTGTTCTACAGCTATGAAATTTGAACCATGTGCACAGATTAAGATGTAAAGTGAACTTTGATATCAGCTGACCTAGATTTTGACAAAGTGTCTTAATGTGTTGTCCTTTGATGTAGTCATGAAATTTAGGCTGTGTGAAATATGACCTTCACCACCAAATTCACTAGACTCAAGTGCATTGATATATTCATACTCTGATCTTTTATTGGATTAACAATAGATTTAACCACTAATCTGATAATAAGAATTAGATAGGTCAGGGATCTATGCATTATGACAATCTTCAATTGTATAGAAACAAAAAAAATCTGTTCCTACACTACTATTTAGTGTTGTATTAATGCGGTGGCATAGGATTTTTCTCAAATGCAATCTTGCTGCATCAATTAAAAAGGCAGAGACCTAATGTATCACTGTTCACAAAATGTCAGCTTTAACTGAAATGATAGATTTTGATTCTCACAGTTCAGACATAGCAAATATACTTTCAACTTATGGTTTTATGGTTCTCAATTATATGCACACCAGTGCTTGTAAATGAGATCTATTTTATGTTTTACTTTTTCTGGAAAATATTTAGTGCTTTCATGACATCTTGAAGTATGGACTCCAAATTTTGACAAAGCCATTTTATGTTTGAGTGATTATTTGTGCCCCCACTTAAGTGGCGAGCATTTAGATTTACCTTTGTCCGTCCGTCTGTCCGTTCTCTTTTGTGTCGCAGTTGTGCACCTTGGTATTTTCGTGTGGATTTATTCAGTATTTTTAGAGTTATTGCCCTTGACTTAGTAAAAATTTGCAATTTTCAACTTGTGTCGCATGTAACTCAAAAAGTATTTGACGTTGAGTCATGAAACTTTACAGGAATGTTGATCAGCATGTGAAGTTGTGCACCTGGGTATTTTCGTGTGGATTTATTTAGTATTTTTAGAGTTATTGCCCTTTACTTAGTAAAAATTTGCAATTTTCAACTTGTGTCGCATGTAACTCAAATAGTATTTGACCTAGAGTGATGAAACTTTACAGGAATGTTGATCAGCATGTGTCGTTGTGCACCTGGGTATTTTTGTGTGGATTTATTTAGTATTTATAGAGTTATTGCCCTTGACTTAGTAAAATTTTGCAATTTTCAACTTGTGTCGCATGTAACTCAAAAAGTATTTGACCTAGAGTCATGAAACTTAACAGGAATGTTGATCAGCATGTGTAGTTGTGCACCTGGGTATTTTTGTGTGGATTTATTTAGTATTTTTAGAGTTATTGCCCTTGACTTAGTAAAATTTTGCAATTTTTAACTTGTGTCGCATGTAACTCAAAAAGGATTTGACATAGAGTCATGAAACTTCTCAGGAATGTTAATCAGCATGTGAAGTTGTGCACCTGGATATTTTCGTGTGGATTTATTTAGTATTTTTTGAGTAATTGCCCTTGACTTAGAAAATTTTTGCAATTTTTAACTTGTGTCGCATGTAACTCAAAAAGGATTTGACAGCGAGTCATTAAACCTTACGGGAAGGTTGCTCAGCGTATGCAGTTGTGCACCTGGGGTTTCGCTTGTGGACTTATCCAGTATTTGAAGAATAAATTTCCCTTGACTTAGTAAAAACCTTTTCATTATGTTGTTATTTGTTCCTTGAGTGCTTGAGTTAGAATCAACCAACTTTACAGGAATAATGATCAACATCACTTAATTACAGGATTAATGATTCACATCACTATGAGGCTATGCACCTGGGACTTTGCATGTGGATTTTTTTTCAGTTTTGTTAGAGTTATTGCCCTTGACTTACAGTAGTGTAAATTTGCAATTTTCAACTTGTTCATGCATAGTTCACTTGTAGGCTTGAACGTGAAAGAATGTTGGTCAGCATGTGTACTTATGCACCTTTGGGTTTGCTTGTGGATTTATTCATTATTTGTAAACTTCTTGCCCTTTACTTTAGTAACAGATTTTTAGTTTTCAAAAAATATTTGACCTAGAGTCATAAGATTGACAGAACAGTGGCGCGGTTGGGGCACCCGTGTCCTATGGACACATTTCTAGTTTACTTCTGTGTTGTTGTTTTGTGTTTTTACATTGGCTTCATTATATTTTGTTTCAGATGAAAAACCATATGGAAATATGTCCAAGTAAACCTAAAGAATGCAGATTTAAGTCTGTTGGATGCATTTTTACAGTGAGTATCGTTAATAGGCAGTCTATTGATTGATAGATGTTACTAGATAAATATTTTTATATGCTCATGCTGAGATTTGTAATATTTCTGTCATGTAGTGTCAGTTGAAACCTTAAGTTTCTTTAAACAACATATTTTGTCAAATCTTGTTGTAAATATTGAACAAACTTTTAAGGTAACAATATTTTTGTGATCTGTTTAAATTCCATATAAATGGACCGTGCACATTTGGAAGGTAAGAGGAGAAAAAAAAATTAATTGAAAAATGATTTTTTTTTTTTTTTTTAATTTTAAAATTTCAGTAAAAAAAAATACAAAGCCCAGAGTTTTTAAATGCAGTGTGAGGGTGTGTCATTGTCTGGCAGTCCTCTGCCACACCTTTCAAAGGTACTCTTCAAATTTGGCACAAATGTACAACAAAACAAGGCACTTTGCATAACCAATGTCACAGCAATCAGGCTTAGATAAAGGTCATTCCGGTAGGTTAATTATAAGAGAGCCAATTCCACTGTGTCTGCTCTATGGATCCTAAACCTGTAGAAAGTTTTTCTTCAATCTTTGCAGAAATATGTCCACCAGAACAAGGCAATATGTAGAGCTCATTTGGCCCTTGTGTCAGCTCAGGGTCTAGGTCACGACTGAAGGTTAATGTGAGAAAGCCAATTCTACCAATTAATTCCTATATCACTGGAAGGATTTTATCTCAACTTTGCTCAAGTGTCCACCTAAAAAAAGGCAATTTTAGAACCCATGCCATTGTATTGCCAGCTCAAGGTCAATGTCACATTTGAAGGTTAAATATCAGGCAACCTTTTGACAAACTATTTTATGTTCACTTTGTAAATCCTATACCCTTTAAAACATTTTCTAAACTTGGTTCAAATGATTAACAAGGCAGTATACAAAGCCAGTGATGTGAATTGCTTCAAATGTGATTTTGTCATGGGAATTTTTCTCCAATCAGGTGAGCAATTGAGACTTACTGTAACCTTTTTTAGCTCACCTGTCACTTTGTGACAGGGTGAGCTTTTATGATCACTTTTCGTCCGGCGTTCGGCCGTGCGGCGTCTGTAAACTTTTACTTTAAATGACATCTCCTCATAAACCACTTAGCCAATTTCATCCAAACTTCACAGGAATGTTCCTTTGGTGGTCACCTTTGAAAATTGTTCAAAGAATTTAATTCCATGCAGAACTCTGGTTGCCATGGCAACCAAAAGAAAAAACTTTAATTATCTTCTTCTAAAAAAACCAAAGAGCTAGAGCTTAGATATTTGGCATGAAACATCTTCTAGTGAGTGTTTACCAAGTTTGTTCAAATAAAAGCCCTGGGGTCAAAATTGGCCCCGCCTCGGGGGGGGGGGGGGTCATTGATTTTTCCTATATGTATATAGTAAAAACTTAAAAAATCTTCTTTTAAAGAACCAAAAGAGCTAGAGCTAAGATATTTAACATGAAACATCTTCTAATGGGTGTCTACCAAGTTTGTTCAAATAAAAGCCCTGGGGTCAAAATTGGCCCCCGCCCCAGGGGTCATTGATTTTTCCTATGTGCATATAGTAAAAACTTAAAAATCTTCTTTTAAAGAACCCAAAGTGCTAGAGCTAAGATATTTAGCATGAAACATGTTCTAATGGATGTCTACCAAGTTTGTTCAAATAAGAGCCCTGGGGTCAAAATTGGCCCCGCCCCGGGGGACATTGATTTTCCTTATATGTGTATAGCAAAAACTTAAAAATCTTCTTCGAAAAAACCCGAATAGCTAGAGTTTAGATATTAAGCATGAAACATCTTCTAGTAAGTGTCTACAAAGATTGTTCAAATAAAAGCCCTGGGGTCAAAACTGGCCCTGCCCTAGGGGTGTCATTGTTTTTAGATATATGTGTAAAGAAAAAATTTAAAAAATCTTCTTTTAAAAAACCCAATGAGCTAGACCTTAGATGTTTAGCATGAAACATCTTCTAATGGGTGTCTACCAAGTTTGTTCAAATAAAAGCCCTGGGGTTTAAACTGGCCCCGCTCCGGGGGCCTATATACAGGTGAGCGACTTCAGGGCCATCATGGCCCTCTTGTTTCATAAAAATGTGGTCATAGCTGTTAATTGATGTTTTTTAACAGGGAACAGATGAAGAGGTTCAACAACATTTAGTGACAGATTTAAATAAACATTTAGAGAATGTGACTCTCTACACAGCAAATATGGAAGTTCAGAGCATTGGAATCAGAAGGGAATTACAAGTAAGTTTGTCTCTAGCTTTATATTGTAAGATAGTGTTCAATTGTTCTTACCCTGAATGTGAATTAAATGATCTAATTTCCTTTACATTTCATTTCAGTTTGTTTATTATTATACAAATAGTTATTTCAGAAAACATTGGAAGAGAAAAGAGCCATGGTAAAGGCATAGAAATTGGTGTGCAATATGAGAATTGTAGTTAATGAAACTAAAGATGACAAACTTAAATTGGTAAAACATGAAAATCTTTGAAAATCTTGCAGAGGCTTGCAAATTGAGATATTTCAATTTCATTATAAAATTTGATTTAGAGGATCTCAAAGTTTCTATTCTGTATTGAAATTGTTTGGAGCTGTGTCATGTGAGGCTGGTATAAAATACGTAGTAAAGTTTGTATATGAAACTTCAGAAAGTGCATGTATACACCATGACATTGCAGGGGATTATTCCTCACTACCAGATCATCATAAAACCCCAAAATGTTGCTTCTTGAGTGTTTAAAAAAGGTGTCTTTAAATGATTTATTTCTCACATATGTCTTCAGATGTTGGGAGTGGTTATGTTATATTTAGTAGGTAGGTTGTTTCATATAGCAATAACAGCTTTTACCAGTAAGTTTGTCACTCGCTGGAGAAAATTTCTTAATTGTGTCCCTCGTCATTTTAGGACCACTTGCCCATTTAATGTATGATATTTGGACTGGTCTGTGCCTTTTGTTCTCCAACTATTTAGCAATTTTCCTAACAAGTTTTGTCCAACTGCTTATAACTGATTGTGTAGGTTATAGTTTAATATTGACAGTAACTTTCTGTTTTCAATATTTTCACTTGCTGTATCATATCATATCTCGGTTTTAAATGTATGTTTGCATGTTATACAGATATTCTTTACTTGGGTGTAATCTAAATATCACCTTTGTTATTGAATTGTAATGTTACTAAGGATTGTCTCAAATTTTGAAAACTGCTTTGAGTATTGTGTTTATCAGAGATTCATAGAACTGTTATTCAAAAGGTGTAAAAATTTCAATTTAAGAGAAAGGGTTGGTCACAGGTTATGTGTTAGGATCACATCACCTGTATTGCTATATTTCCTGCTTTTGTTATTGTTGCTCAGCTATCTACATTGGATGCTTAATCAGATTTTTTGTACATTTTCTTGAAACCAGGTTTCCTTTATATTGTGTTGTTTATACAAATGTATGTGGTATTATTCTTTCTTGCTGCATTTTCTTTCAGGTGAATTGCTCTTTTGAACAGAATAAGTTCTTAACTCACCTGGGCATGAAGTACTTAATTGTGCCCTTTTGTGATGGCATGATGTCCGTTGTGTGTGGTCTGTCATTATCAACAGTTTTTTGGAACAACAGACACCCCAAAACTTCAGAGGAATAAACTTGAGGTGGTGCTTCACAAAAATTCCTTGTTTCCATTTACTAATGTGAAGGATACAGGTCAGCTATCACCTCTTTATTTGAAGAATTGGCTGGTAGGAGGCTCTGATCTGTAATGCAAGATTATATGAGAGTCAGTTCAGTGTATAATGTAGCTCCCAGTTTTTAAGGACAGCCTTGAAAGTTTGTCCAGTTTTATTGATGTACTGTGAATTTGATGATGTTTATGTGCTTTGCTTAGGCATTTTATAAAAGATTCAGTCAATGAACCTCAGTTATACAAGTGGTAAGAGTTTCTGTGTTTTGAAAAACACTCTTGACTTTGCTCATAAATATTTGAATATCTAACTGAACATAGCATTATGAGACTTTGTTTACTAAAGAGAAATTTCCCGGTATATATGTAACAATCTTTAAATTAATGCACATAGAAAAACAGAATTTACAAATGCCATTAAAACATAGGCCTATTGATGAAAATAGCCAGTGTCTTTGTTTCCCTCACCATAATATTTTATCATTTATACCTTCCTAGTTCATATTCTAACATAAATGTATATTAAAATATCGGTATCTAATGGTCATTTTATAAAATAACTATTCACTCTCACTACTTCTAATCATCACACACCAATTAAATCCATCCTATTTGACACAAATGAAAACCTTACCTATATTGAAGGTAAAATCCTTGAAGGTGAAGGTTATCTTTATTTGTCTGTTTTGGCTTTCCATATTTTGTATTTTTAATCACAAGTAGTCCTGGTCCATGCTACAGGAAACCAAAGCTAAATATAGAGTACATATCATAATCTAGAGTAAATATATAAAGGGAATGCCAGAAAATTATAAATAGAACAAATCGTTAATCTATGTTATATATAAGTATGGTATTCCACTTGATAAACAGACAAAGTTAAATATAGAGTATATATCATAATCAATATAACAGATATTGATATGGTTTTAAATATAATACAATGGGAATGCCAGAAAATTATAAATAAGAACAAATCATTAATTCATGTTATATATAACTAAGGTTTTCCATTTGATGTCTGAAATAAAACAGGCATGATATTTTGATAGATGACAATAAGTGCTAGTATTTTTTACTTTTTAGCTCAAAACATGGTTGTCATAGTTATGGAAATAGTTAAAATGGAAATAGATAAATTTTGGTTTTTAATAAATGATAAAGTGAAAAAGTATACAAGCTTGGTTATGAAAATCTTAGAAAACATGTTTTATTGTGAATTTGTGACAAATACGTCAGTGCATAGTGTTTTGTGAAGGCCATGCTTTTTTGTACTCCAAAGTATAATGAAATTTACTATAGAGCAGAACTTACTTGGAACTTAGTTGTTTAAGTGCAATTGTCATACTTTTATTGTACTCCAAAGTATAATGAAATTTACTATAGAGCAGAAATACCTGGGAACTTAGTTGTTTAAGTGCAATTGTCATACTTTTATTGTACTCCAAAGTATAATGAAATTTACTATAGAGCAGAACTAACTGGGAACTTAGTTGTTTAAGTGCAACACCAATGTCATGTCATAACTACAGTCTATTTTGTTACACATGATTATAATTGTTATTTCAGGAGGTAACAGCAGAGAGAGATCAATTAAGACAAGAAGTGAATGTTGTTAGACAGGAGATGGCAGTAATGAAAACAAACTTCGAGAAAGTACAAAATTCAAACAAAGAACTAAAGGTATCATAAAAGTCCTATGATATTCTGCAAATTTGCTACTTTTTGTGCCTCCACTTTAGTGGCAGGCATTTAGATTTACCCTTGACCGTCCTTCCGTCCGTCCATTCTCTTTTGTGTCGCAGGTAACTCAAAAAGAAAAGTATTTGACCTAGAGTCCTGAAACTTAAAAGGAATGTTGATCAGCATGTGCAGTTGTACACCTGGGTATTTTCGTGTGGATTTATTAAGTATTTTTAGAGTTATTGCCCTTGACTAAGTAAAAATTTGCAATTTTCAACTTGTGTCTCACATAACTCAAAAAGTATTTAACCTAGAGTCATGAAACCTTACAAGAATGTTGATCAGCATATGTAGTTGTGCACCTGGGTATTTTTTTGTGGATATTTTTAGTATTTTTAGAGTTATTGCCCTTGACTTAGTAAAAATTTTCAATTTTCAACTTGTGTCGCACTTCACTAAAAAAGTATTTGACCTTGAGTCATGAAACCTTACAAGAATGTTGCTCAGCATGTGTTGTTGTGCACATGGGTATTTTCCTGTGAATATATTAAGTATTTTTATAGTTATTGCCCTTGAATTAATAAAAATTTCTAATTTTCAAACTGTGGCGCACGTAACTAAAAAACTTTTTAGGGAGTCATGAAACCTTACAGGAATGTTGCTCAGCATGTGTAGTTGTGCACCTAGGTATTTTCGTGTGGATATTTTTAGAGTTATTGCCCTTATCATAGTAAAATTTTACAATATTCAACTTGTGTTGCACATAACTCAAAAAGTATTTCACCTGTAGGCCTGAAAGTTTACAAGAATGTTGGTCAGCATGTGTACTTATGCACCTTGGGGTTTTCTTGTGGATTTATTCAGTATTTGTAGTAATTGCCCTTTACTTAATATAAGATTTTCAGTTTCAACTTGCTCACATGTAGCAACAAAAAAAAATTTGACCTAGAGACATAAGATTGACAAATCAGTGGAGTGTCTGGGCACCCGTGTCCTATGGACACATTTCTAGTTGATACTTGAATGCATTAAAAGTTGTTGGGATGAATATTAAAAAACACAATGAAAATAACACAATAGGGACAATAATGAAATTAAAATGGGATAATAATAAAAGACTTTGAAACATTCTAAAACTTACTGTTCTGTAAATACATTCACAAATAAACCAGTCATATTGTTTTCAACTTTTAAGAAACAGCTAAGAAAAACTATTCTTTAGCTTTAATGTTTGCAAATGTTGTTTGGCATTTACCTCAGAGCCCTGGACATATACTTTTTATGCCCCCACAGAGTGGGAGCATATAGCATTGCACTTGTCTGTCCATCCGTAAGTCTGTCCGTCCGTCCAGAAATCTTGTGAACGCAACTCCTCTTAAACCGGATTGCAGATTTTGCTTAAACTTCCAGGGATGAACAACCTTAATGTGTAAAAGGTAGTAAAAGAAGGAATTTTTGCTGCAACCAAATTTAACAGAGTTATGGCCCTTTGTTGATTTTTTCACTATATACTATGTAGAAATTTTGTGAACGCAACTCCTCTTAAACCGGATGGCAGATTTTGCTTAAACTTCCAGGGATGAACAACCTTAATGTGTAGATGGTAGTAAAGGAAGGAATTTTTGCTGCGACCAAATTTAACAGAATAATGGCCCTTTGTTGATTTTTTCACTATATACTATGTAGAAATTTTGTGAACGCAACTCCTCTTAAACCGGATGGCAGATTTTGCTTAAACTTCCAGGGATGAACAACCTTAATGTGTAGATGGTAGTAAAGGAAGGAATTTTTGCTGCGACCAAATTTAACAGAATTATGGCCCTTTGTTGATTTTTAGTTTTCAACTTGTGGCACATGTAGTCCAAAAAATATTTGACCTAGAGTCATAAGATTGACAGAACAGTGGCGTGTGGGGGCATCCGTGTCCTATCCTATGGACACATTTCTAGTTTTAATCTAACCTGTGTCACCTGTAACTTATTCAATATCATAAAAGCACAGTCTGGTTGATGGGTGACTCTGTATTCAAGCATCAACTGTGCTTTGTTCGAAGTAAAAATGTTTCTTAAAACACGTTCTTTGACTTTTATTCAGAATATTCATACCAATCTGTGTATTGTAAATACAGGGGTGTAAGGGATGTATTTACATTGTCATTAGTGATATTTAATGGTATCCTTAGCCATTTTTAAGGATGATCAGAATGACGCTAACACTTTGATTAAAAGTAATGTGCCCAACGAGCAATATTTAACTAATCACGCGAAAAGCGTTTTAACAGTTTCTGTTTGACATCATCTATAACATATAATTTGTAGACGGATATATGTCCTCCTTTGAAGCACCTCTATATTTTGATTGGCAAATAAGTATCTATTTGTTTTATCTATGATTTACTATTAAGTATAGGTTGATTTACAAAAAAGTTGAAAAAAGAAATCGCATTCTCACACAAAAAGACTTATTGATTGTATATTGAGTTAATTAGGAAACAAAATAAACATATGTAATTATGTATATGTCATTTTTGCTCATCCCCCACGCTTTGCCACATTCAAACAAATATTTCTGTAGCTACTTTGACGAGGCATACACCGTCTTTCTGTTTAAAAATGCAGTTATGTTTACATTGACAGGTGCGTGGGAAATCACGTAAACCGGAAACGTACTTTCGACTGTATGGTAACTGTTTATACGGTCGTATACCTGAAAATGGTTTTAGGTGCGACTTAGGTCGTATGACCGTGTTCATAAAACGGTCATGTGGAAATCGTAAGCTCGGTCGTAAGTATTGGACGAAAGATAAGATCCAAGGTACGACCGTCTTTGTTGATAAAACGGCACCCAGGTCAGTAGATCAAATCAAAACAACAACTTATGTAAGTATAAGATTTGTCCTATAAATACAAAAAATTAGATAAAAAAATTTACATATTTTACAGTTAAAGATGGTCTCACTGACAGAAAGAGTTATACATTTAGAGAAGCAATCAGAGAATGCAGCAAAAAAAGATGTTGTTGAACGCCATGATAGGGATGTAAGAACCATGCAGACATCCTTGACCCAAGTTCGAGCCCAGGTGGTACAACTTGAAAGGCTGAGCTTAAATGAAGGAGGACGTTCAGGATCAGGAGAAACTACACCAGGTATCAAATTGTATTATTATAATTTTATGGAAGGAGACACAAAAATCAAGCATATTTGCAATACATATATTTGTGAATTGGCATGCATCTTATGTAATTGTATTTTGAGATCATAGATTGTTTTATAAATTTGTTCTGCAAGACAAGATATCAAAACATGGAAGTTATGATGATCTTTTATTTCCATTATCAACATTGTTTGTGGTATTAATAAAAAATTGTTTATTGAACAGCTCCAGAATTAAAGCGTAGAATAGACATGCATGACAGCCAATTTGCACAGTTAGATGTTCAGATGGCAGAGCTTGATCTGAGATTTCAGATCCTCGAGACAGCAAGCTACGATGGTACGCTAATGTGGAAGTTGAGGGATTACGCTCGGAGAAAACAAGACGCAGTTCAAGGGAGAACACTCTCGTTGTACAGTCAGCCATTTTACACCCACAGATATGGTTATAAGATGTGTGCAAGGGTAAATAATGGAAGATATTTATATGTTTTAAGTACTATAAGACACCTTGGGTCAGTTTGTTAACAAGAGTTCAGCAGATCTGCAAGAAATATAATTTTGCAGCCAACCGTTGGGTGCTGTAATTTGAATGATGTTTGCTGTAGTAGCCAACAATATGTTGACACATCAACATATTGAAATAAGCTATGTTAAGCATTAAGATTTGGAATTTATGAAACGGGTCTTTAAGATGTTATGTTCATCTGTCCACATGATAAAGGATGGTTATTTATCTACAGTCGTACCGCCTCGATGGTGGAGGGGTTAGAGTTGATGACTTCTAATCCAGTTACCTCCCTGGCATGGGTTCGATGCCCGGGACATGCTTTGGTAGTTTAGCGCAGAGGAAGGTAGTCTAGTACTAGTGTAACTCTCCAGGAACGATGGTTAGGAAACTACCCGCCTATATGACTGAAATACTGTTGGGAAAAGGTGTAAAATGAAACAAACAATCTACAGTCGTATCAAAGAGCAGCTTAAATCATTGCTCTAACTTTTGTGCAAACATGCCAAGGATGTTTCTTACATAAAGCTGTATCAGAGATCTTCAAATGGCTGCAGTCTGGGGTCACAGTTTGCTTTTGTAATTTTTAGTATGTTATTTTCTCTATATCTTTTATGAATGACTTTGCTCAAAGGCAACTCTGACCTGTTGTCCTATATGTCCAATTTTTCCTGTCAATAAGAATAAAGCTTATAGTCATTACAGTCATGTGAAAGGGCACATGCAAAAGTCAAATTGCTATCTCTCAAAGTGCAAGTTGAAACGTTTACAAATTCACCATTTAACTGGTGAGATATGGTAGGCAAAGGCTTAGTTGCACCAGGTTTGGTGCACCATTAACCGGTATAAACTCCACAGCAGTCATTATGCTGCTGACTGTTCCAAGGCGGCGCCCCTCTGTATTCCTCAGATGTATGGACTGTTTTTGGTGACACTTTTGTTTGTCCCTTGTTTTTTTTCTTCGTCTACGGTAAGTATCTTCCCCATTGCCTTTAGTTTTTATTTCTTTGATTAACCCACCTCCCCCCCCCCCCCCCCCCCCCCCTCTCCCCGGTCTCCTGTCCCCTTCCCCTTTGTGGGCCTATTATTCTTTTTTTGAATTCCTAATGAGTTACAAATTATTTATGATTTAATGATTAACCTGTCCGTGCTCTGTCTTTGCCCTGTCCTGTTTTTGTTTGGGGTCCGTCTGGGCTCCTTGCCATTGGTTCTTGTTGCTGGGTCGTATGGGGTTGTGTTCATTGAACGCCGCCTTTGCTTGTTTGTGATCTTGTTTATCATATTTTAGTGGATTTATGTAAAAAATTGTTTATAATTAAAAAAAAAAAAGGGTGAAAGTTTTCAGAACTATTCCTGAAGTTCAGGATTTTCAAGTTTCCTGAAAGCCATCCATGTCCTATGTAAAACTATAGAAAAACTGCTAAATTCAGGATTTTCAGGATTTTTAAAATTTCCAACTTTCACCCATAGAAGATAATCTGAGACTTACCTCATATAATATTTTTTATCCAGGTGTATCTTAACGGAGATGGTATGGGAAAAGGAAGTCATATGAGCCTGTTCTTTGTTGTTATGAGAGGTGAGTATGATAACCTGTTGCCATGGCCGTTCCAGCAGAAGGTAACGATGACACTTCTTGACCAGGACACTGGACAGTGCAACCTTTCTGACTCATTCAGACCAGATCCAACAAGTAGCAGTTTCAGAAAACCAACAACAGATATGAATATTGCTTCTGGATGTCCACTATTTGTATCTCATGCTGTGTTGGAAACAGCAAAGTATGTGAAAGAAGATACAATCATGATTAAATTTCAGGTGGATTTGGCAAATCTCAATCATCCCTAACCCAGGCATGCATGGAAGTAATGGCTACAAACTTGTAGATGTAAAATGTCTTTTTTCAAATAATTTTTTTGTGATAAGATTTAATTTTGTACTGGTAAGGTGTAGTCATTACATATGTTTTACACAGGTACATATTGGTGTTGCTCTATATTGTAATATTTTCAATAAGTTGGTATATGTACTCCCATGTGGGCCATCAGTAGTGTCTCAGAACAGTCTATTCTCTTCATTTGAAATTGATAAACTTATTATTTACATTGCATTACTGTATAGTTACATATTACAGCTGTATATGTCTATCAAAGAAAGAATGATAGTTGATAACATCATGTATGTTAGTCTTGATATAGCTTATTCACCAACTTTGACTTATATTCCAATCCTAGATGTGAGCAATACATTAAGCATTCGTTATCAGCTTAAGTTAAATGTTGATGCTTCTGTTGCCTTTTCATATTTCTTTATGTTTGCCAAATTTTGTTTGCATCATTTTTTAGAATATGGAAGGCCTGTTAAGATATACATTTATTTACCAGTAAGCAGAAATAAAAAAGGCTTGTGTCTGCCATCCAGGGTGGTTATAGAAATGTTTTTCTTCATAATTATGTTACCCACAGAGATAAAAAATAATGCCCCTTTTAAAGCAACACCATGTTCAAGTTAACCGGGCATATAATAAAGGTTATGTGTATACTTGTTATCAAATTGAGGAGATTGCCATTTATACATTAAGTAATATTGGTAATACATGTATTTATAAAGGTGTTTGATATCAAAATTGTTTCTTTAATTTTTATGTAAATTTTGCGTTGAAATTGTATACTACTACAGAAATTGAGAGCAGGGCTGTATATTTTTCAATTTCAACTCTTAAGGGTTTGGTAAATGCTCCCTTCTATTACACCAATGAAAATATTTCATGCAAATTATGTAGAAAGAGGAAATTGTCAACAACTTGTGAAGGATAATATTGCTTGACTTGACTGTTCAAATGGGGGGTGGAGGGGGAGGGGTCCTGTAAATGTCATGTCATTCAGAAATCATTATAACTAATAAGTTATTCAAATGAAATAAACTAATGTTAAAATTATATTAAATTTTACTGCATTAGGAAAAGCGATAGGGTTAAATATTTATTTCTAGTGAAAAAGTATTCATAAGATATTTTTCATTTTACTGTTCATTAATTCTAAATTCTGACAGAAAGCACGGTTTGGGCTACTTCTTTTGATAATGTTATACATATATCATCTTAATTTATTATGATACAAGTCTTATTTTAATATATATTTATACATCATATTCAAATTGTTTCAGAGTTTGGCAGATTGTCAGCTTTTTTTATAGGACACTGTGTATGGATATCAGAATGTTAAATGGTTTATGTAGTAAATGTTGTTGTAAATGCTCTATATATGGAGACAATATTATAATTAAAGATACATGTATATCAATTTCATTGTGTATATTTATATATAAAACATCTGCCAGCAATCATGCTGTAAATGGCAGTATTGAATAGCCTTTCTTTATAAGTAAATAATCTGTGATGTAAATTTCTAGCTCGTAGTAACAGGTTGGAAGCTATCCTCTACTGAGAGTATCATAGATAACTGATAATGTTTCCACATGTGACATTTTAAAGGGCATATTATGCTTATTTTTCATGTCAAATATCTAAACTAAAATTTAAAATTTTATAATTAATGCTTTTTGACATTTCAATATAAAGAGTTCAGCTGACGAGTCTACCAAACGGACGAAACAAATATGAATGTGCTATCAATAATACTAAGGGTCATAACTAATTCAAATCTACATCTTGCAGTCAATAATAACATTATTATAGATTTTTACAAGGGCTGTATTATGATTTGTTGACATTTATATTTTGCCATTTCAATTTCATACTAGATTTTTATGTCAAAATCATTTTGCAATCAGTCTTTGGAAGAAAATACTAGTATATTCTAAAAAGATGAAAACTTTTGGGGCAACTTGGATATTAACATATTTTATGTAGTGATTTTAGTATTATGAATTTTAAACAGACAGCCCACTTCTCCATCACTGTGTCTGGCTATTGTTTGAATGATTTGCTTATATCTAAGTATTAACACCTGGTGGAAGGGGTTATTTTGCAGAAATACATATGTTGTAATTTGTGTGTAGAATTTTTAAAGTAATGCTCTCTTAGAGTGTTTCTATGTTGTAATGCTCTTTGGTCAGATAGTTTGTTGATTTTATTGTTTGACCACAGTGTGGTATTTTCCGGTTTTAACTCTTTTGAGGGTTTTGAACTTCTTAGGAAGAGCATTTCAAAAGAAATTGAGTTGACATTGTAATTCTAAAGGTCAAGGTCAAAATAACATCTTAGCTGACGTTGTGTAGTGCAGAGTAAAGCATTTTCTTGAAGCTGTCAAACTTTGATAATTGACCAATTTTCAAAATTGTGACTTTGTAAGTCAACATCATGTATGAAATAGTTTCAATGCAATACTTTGTCATCTAAGGTTAGCTTACCATACATGTCATTAAGTAATTAGGTCACTTGTCTAAGTGATAAGACTTTAAAGTCCTCTTGTATAGAGGAAAACAATGCTTAGTACTGCCAAATATAAGAATGTTTGTTTTGTAGATGCAGGTTATCATCTTGTTTTTGTTTGTTTTTAAGTTAAGATGTAAAGAATACAACAGCCTTTATACTCTATGTTGTCTTTACAATAAATATAAAAGGCTGTGATAAACAGCTGTATATTGGCTCTTGATTTTTATATATTCTGTCAAACCTGACCAGGAGAAGGAATGATAAGTTCACCTGTTACTCCAGGGGACCTTGAAAGATTGACTATTTTCCAACATACTTTGCTATCACCCTGCACCTCAGAAAAGCGATATCATGCTGTTAATCAAAATTATTTAAAATAACCTAGATGATTGAACTTCAATCTAATGAAACATACAATTCTGTTAAGTTTCTTAATGCGCTTAAAGATATACTATGCTCATATTTAGGTAAAATACTTTTATTGCAAACATGTATTGAAATCTAGGAAACTCGAAAGAATATGTCTAATTGGAATAAGAGTATACACAAACTATGTTTTGAAAACTGCATTCCCTATTACTGGTCCTTTGCCTAAATTGCTTAGTCTATGAAACTTGGTTAGGATGTTTGTCCCAGAAGTTACTCGTATGAGTTTGAATATAGGTATTCTCGGATGAAAAACTAGGTAACATGACCTGAAAATGGAATAATCTTGTTAATATTCTAGAGGCTACTGTTTTAATCCAAATATCAGGACAATTTGTCAGAAAGGTTGTTTGGATGATTTCTAGTTCAAGTTCCAGTATGGGTCATCTGGGGTCAAAAACTAGGGTTATGCAGCCCAAACATGGAAAAACCTTACACTCAAGAGTTAACATAATCAGCCCAAATATCCTGAAAATATGTCAAAAAGGTTGTTTGGATGATTTCTAGCTCAAGTTCCAATATGGGTCATCTGGGGTCAAAGACTTAGTTAAACAGCCCAAATATGAAAAAAACCAACTTGTTAACACTCTAAAGACAACATTTTCAGTCCAAATATAATGCAAATTTGTTAGACTGGTTGTTTCTATGATTTCTAGATCAAGTTCAAATATGGGTCATTTTGGGTAACTTTGTTAGAAACAGTCGTACTCGGGTGAGCGATATAGGGTCATCATTGCCCTCTAGTTCAATGACATTATTTATTCATACTGTGTTTACCTAGAGTATGTAGAGTTTAAAGCATTACATACCTTCTGTGTATGTACTTGAATGATGTTGCATTTAATATTTAAAAAGAGGCTTTTGCAATTATCATTATTTTCTAATATCAAATTTAGGCATAATATATCTTTAACCAAAATTTCTTTGTATTTAAGTTAGAATGTGATATCACATTTATAATTGTTCTGAACATTTAAGAATGATACCAATTATTATTTAAAAATGTCTAAAAGAGATTAAGCAAAAGATTACATGAACTTAGTTTGATATCAATTACATTATAACATACCTTGATTTATTAAAATAAACATCATAAACAAAATTGAACATTTATATTCATTCCATATACACGTATTTAAATATTCAATAAGGAATATATCTAGATGTTACATTGATATCTTCCTTTATTTGCCATCAATATATATTTGATAACAATGCCACCAAAAGAAATTGTTTGAATGCATTAATGAATAACTGCTTAGTAACTGATTAAATGATTGTTTAACTGTTGGAAGTTTTTTTATTTTACTAAACTAGTATGAACCTAAACCAATCAATATTATCATAGGTAGATTAGAATTATTACTCATACAGGCAATAATCATGCTGTGATCTTTACCTTTAACCTGCTGAATTTTTATATATATAACATTTGAATGGCCCATAATCAGTTTGGGGATGTAAAGATAAAAATTCTATTGGTTTGCCATCAGACTGTACAGTGACAAAGGTTTATAACTTGGTTTCAGCAAGTTGAGACTCCCTTTGTCAGTTTGTTCCCAATAATAATAATAAATTCGTACAATTATAATGATTTCTGAATGACATTTGTTGATAGGGGTGTAATTTACAAATTATATAATCTTATGTAATCTATAATAAACATTGGTTTACTGACTTTGATATTTTTTTACTCTTGACCATTATCATGATTATTTAGTTTGAGACATTGATTCTTATATTTCCACTCTCATTCCAATTTTTTTGTTGAGATTATAGTATTAATGGTAAAGGGTTGGTACAGAAACATGTAATACAAGTTAGATAACTTCCTATTGGTACAGGGTTTAGAATGACCATATTTTCCCCCAGCAAAAAATACATATGCTTGTACAACATGTGGTAAAATGAAAGTGTTATGATAAAGATCTTTGGAAGAGATGAGAATAGGGGTGTCACGGTTAGAAAAAATGCTATCTGCTACGTAATAACCGTGTTAAAAATGTTAAACGTTAACTGACCATACTAATAAAATCCTTAGATTTTTCAACACAATTCATTACTGTCATAACTTGTCATAAAAAAACTAAGGTAATTTTTAGAATCAATCTAAAACTTTTCCGCTCCTTAGTCAAATACTAACCTTGTTTACCAATTACTGTATTTTTTAACCAGGTTTATCTAAAAACCTACCGTACCTGTTTAAACAGAAATAAACGTGACATCCCTATTATATTGGCTATATCTATTATATTGGCTATATGAAAAGGTGACAGAAGCATCATACAATGATAAGGTTGATAATAGAAATATCATAAAAAATTGTTGAATTAACAGATTCTAGTGAGTTTGGGTTTTCATGTGAGTGCTTATATATTGACACAACTGTTTTGTTGTTGAAATATACATGTATAATGTTATTACATCAGACTGTTTTTACTGTGCTTCTTCAGATTATTAATGAGGTAATCAGTTTTGTTTCTTGTATACAGTGTAAATGTTTGTAACTGCTAAATGTTACAGAAAAATATTTTCTAAAAAGCAACATCTATTTTAATTACTATGTTAGAAATATGTTCACAGAAATTGGAAATGTTTTGCTTTTGAATGAATAAATATAATTATCTACTATTGAAAATCTGCATGACTATAAATGAAGTCTGGAGGATACTTTCTTAATGTTAATATTACATGTATAGTTAACATGATGTAATTATTTAGATATGTCTTTTTTCTTTTATTTTGTGTTTTTGCTACATTTGTCTTTTTTCAAATAATGTCCAGGATATAGATATAGTCTGACTATTGGAGAGCAAAGAAAAGGTCCATGTTCATAGCATTATAGCATAAGTGACTAAAATTTATGAAGTTTTGAAGGTGGGGGGATTTTGTAAAAAAATATTCATCTTTCACTTCTTTCTTATTGAGCTGAGTGGAGCAGTCTGTATAAAAACAGATTATTACTCCTACATAGTCCATAGATATTGTTAAGAACATTGCACTAAACTTCTAGGGACAATATGCTTTACCAGGGTGGTCCATGGTCATAAATTACTTTTATTATCATACTAACTACATTTCATCTTTCATTTCAGGTAATGATGTTATATCAACATATCAATACTATATAACTGAACCTACTTTGTCAAAATACATTTTCTAGACGTTGTTTTTTTTTAAGAATGCTACATTTGGCAAAGCAATAATGGAAACCTAGATAAATAGTAAGTATTTTAGTAATTGAACCAAAATGTTTCATTTCCTCTTAATTGTTATGTGTATGTTCATTTAGACCCTAAATTTATCAAAAATGATTTTTTTTTTTCATCCAGGAACTGGAATTCATTTAAAATTTTCAAAAGCTGAGAACATATCAAAATGTATAAACATTTTGATATGCAACTTTATGCTGATGGAAATTATTACTTTAGATGGAAATTTTTGAATTATACATCATAATAAGCTTTTAGAGATCAGTAACAAATTAAAGTTTTTTTATTCCTTATTTATACCATAACTTTCTGTTATTTTCATTAATTAAATATAAGTACTCGACCAACTTTACATGTAATTTTAAAGCTACATGCTTCCAGATGAGCTAAAATGTCAAAAAAGTCGGTCTTGAGAAAAATATACTCAAATTTCAACTAAAGTATAAATATTTACAATTGAAGAAATGATATACATAAAATGTGCAATGAATTATTGATTTTGCAGTATTCATCACCATATTTCTATTGCATTTCTAATACAGTAAGGGCTATTTTCTATATTATGACATTTTTGATAATTTTCATAGATTTTATGTGCGGTTTTCAATATGTAAATTACCGTCTTTGTTCGTGTGACAATATTTTACTTTTTTAGTACATTTTAAAAATGTTTGTGAAAACTAACATGAATCTGGAGGCATGCTGATTTAAATCTATATGCAAATATGTAACTGTCTAACCATTGGTATCACCCTGGAATGCATTTGGAGTAGATGTTTTAATACTTCTATCAATGGCAGGATATGCTATAACATGGACCACACATCTGATGGATATGATTATGCCTTCATTCAAAGTGTACATGGTTATTTCTTTCAAATGGTTCTGTTAATCTAGTATTTTTTTCATATTGCTTAACAGTTGTTCCAAAAATTTATGTTGTTTTTTTTTATTTTACATCCTGGCTACTTCACAGGTGGCAGTATCAGTGTTTGGACACCCACCCCTATCTGCCCCTGGACCCCTACTACAACCATGAAAAAAAAAAATTCAACACTCTAAGGCTTACTATAAGGTACCAAATACAAAACCAAAGATGAAATTATATATAAAAAAAAATTTTCCACTATCAAAATTGTAGTTATAGAAAGGTGAAAAGCCTACTATATGTTCATTTGCCAAACAATGTGGAACACGGGAAATCGTCATTTTGATAGTGGAAATTTTTTTTTTTATATGATTTTATCGGTGGTTTTGTATTTGGTACCTTATAGTAAGCCTTAGAGTGTTAATTATTTTATTTTTTCATGGTTGTAGTAGGGGTCCAGGGGCAGATAGGGGTGGGTGTCCAAACACTGATACTGCCACCTGTGGGCTACTTAACACTTTATTATGTGTACATATTAAGTTTAATAATTGAAAAAAAAAAATTATGAAAAAGTTGCATCAATTGAGAAATGTGGCAACATGAACATGCTTATACTTCAATATATATTAGTGATGATATCTGTATCATCGCTAATTATAATACTGCACATTTGTATTGGACAATATGGATGTTTAAGTAATATGTATATACACTGCTTCTGTCAATGTATGAAGTCTTAAAAGTTTGTTATATTGCCGTACATACAATCATGGTTATTTGCACTGTAATGATTTTCCAACGGTTTGGGTTATATATAGAACAACCACTTATAGAGCCAAATATTTGCGAAAAATATTCATAACTTATAATGTATCTGTACAGTAACGGAAGTTAAATCCAAAGTTGTTTTAATTCTTTTATGGCAAACAGATAAAAATTCAAATCAGAGAAGACATTTAGGTGATTGATTATATATTTAAATTGTTAGTGATGTGCGTGTATCATTTATATATGCATATAAAATTGATTTTTTTTGTTGTTGTTTTTGTTAATGTTGCAAAAAAATTGCCATATATTTGAGATAAGTTCTATGAGGTGCACAGTATATTTAATGATTGTTTAACTTATGCTATTGAGACAGTTATGAAATACTAGAAAGTTCAAGAAAGCATCATTCCATTCTTTAGTAGTTGTAATAATCTTTCAGTGTCTGATTAATTTTGCAGGTGAAAAAAGTGTAATAATCTTCCACTTTATAATTCATTTCGCAGTAGAAGAAAGATGTAATAATCCTTTAGTTTATGATTAATTTCGCATTTTAAGAAAGGTGAAATAATCTTTTAGTTTAGAATTCATTTTGCAGTTGAAGAAAGGGTGTAATAATCCTTTAGTTTATGATTAATTTCGCAGTTTAAGAAAGGTGTAATAATCTTTTAGTTTATGATTAATTTCGTAGTTGAAGAAAGTTGAATAATCTTTTAGTTTATATTTAATTTTGCAGTTGAAGAAAGGGTGTAACAATCCTTTAGTTTATGATTAATTTCGCAGTTGAAGAAAGGTGTAATAATCTTTTAGTTTATAATTAATTTCGCTGTTGAAGAAAGGTGTAATAATGTTTTAGTTTATTATTCATTTTGCAGTAGAAGAAAGATATAATAATCTGTCAGATTATGATTAATTTCACAGTAAAAGAAAGGTGTAATAGTCTTCCACTTAATAATTCATTTGGCAGTTGGAGAAAGGTGTAATAATCTTTTAGTGAATGATTCATTTCGTAGTTGAAGAAAGGTGTAATAATCTTTCAGTTTATAATTCATTTTGCAGTTGAAGAAAGGTGTAATAATCTTTCAGTTTATAATTCATTTCGCAGTAGAAGAAAGATGTAATAATCTTTCAGTTTATGATTAATTTCGCAGTTGAAGAAAAGTGTAATAATCTTTTAGTTTATTATTCATTTTGCTGTTGAAGAAAAGTGTAATAATCTTTTAGTTTATTATTCATTTTGCAGTTGAAGAAAAGTCTAATAATCTTTTAGTTTATTATTCATTTGCAGTTGAAGAAAGGTGTAATAATCTTTTAGTTTATTATTCATTTTGCAGTAGAGGAAAGGTGTAATAATCTTTTAGTTTATAGTTCAGAAAGGTTTGATAATCTTTTAGTCTGTGATTCATTTTGCAATTGATTTCTTTTGAGAAAAAAAATTGTTTTTAGACCTGCAAAATGAACATATAAGATCTCTTTTGCTTACAATTGTGTTATCTGGCATACATTTCAACCTAGAACAGATAAAGCACTCATATACGAGGGGTTATCCAAAAATTTGTGGACTTTTTTTTGTTGCAAAAAATTTATTTGAGATATTAATTTAAAAATCCTTACAATGCTTAGAAGAATTAATAACAAATAAACACAGAAAAATTCATATTAGTAGCTTCTTATATTGCAACAATATATAATTTTACATAAACACATGTCAACCACAGCGGTGCACTCTAAAAAGTCATTTCCCGTTGTAAACAATATCAGCGTTTTGCGTTTGTGGCGATATAAACAAAAATAAACGGAAATGATTTATTATATTTAAGAATTACTTACATGACATCATAGAAGAAACATGTGATGTTTAGCAGGTTTTCTACGTTAAATTTTTAGTTTTTTTGCAAGAAATATAATATGACTTACTGCGCTTTTCTACCGGGTGGCGTGTATGTGCTTATTTAAAAGCAATATAAAATCATTATTTATTGACACAGTTAACTGTTCCTTTCAAAATGTATTGATAATATTCTACAATGTATTCTAATAAAATTTCATTACAATACACGTTGGCGTTCAAGAGATATTTAAAAAGTCCACAAATTTGGATAACCCCTCGTATGACCCAGTTAAGACTTCTGTTACATTAAAAACTGTGTGTGTATTTTGGAGTTAAAGCAGTTTTCAAGTATGTCACATTTGTTAAGCAATTTGTTAAGTTAAGTCGCCTAATTTATCCCACTTTGTAAAAAGTGTTCAGTTATGATGATCATTTATTTTGAGTCAGAAACAGCATAGATTTCTGGAACAACTGTTGATTGGTTTATTGACTTAAGTCTGATTATCAATCTTGCAGTATGACTTAAATGTCATTATAATATCAGTTTCAGCTGAAATATTAACTTTCTTTATAGAACAGAACAAAACAGATAATTAATAATTTATAATTAAGTGATATTTCTTTGCATTATCATTAGTTTGTTTTGTTTTTCTTAACAATTATAACATCAACATGTGAGCTGGGCAAAATAGCTAAAGCTCTCAGAGCCATTATTCATATTGCCTTTAATTTCCACCCTACTGTGTATTAAAATTAGTATAGAAATATTGTGTAGAAATATTGAACATTTAAGTGCTTTCTTGATACTGATACAGAAATAGATTTATATCATAATTAATTTTTTTATTCTTACATGTCTTAGTTTTGTCTTCCTTTACTCGTCCAGTATTTAGTTAGTCTAGCGTCACTGTCTCTTCTGACAGATCTTGTTTTAATTTATTGGCCTTTTAAATTCAGAAAATAAAAAATATATTCTTTAAAATTATTTGAATATATACCTTTTTCATATTCAAAATTCTACTCTGTTTGGAATAAGATATTCAAAATGACATAACATGAGGTAGGTATTGTTGTTCTGCTGTAAATATTCATTCTTGTGTTACCTTATTGTAACAAACATCATCAGCATTATATATGATATCATTACATTTTAATTTATATGTAGGACCTATTTTATTAGAATCAAGGTAGTGCAAACAAACCACAATATAGAGGTAAGATACCGGGTACAGTTATGTCTGTAAACAGATTTCACATTACATTGTATGTTTTAATGCAACACATTTTACATTACATATTTCTTTATATTAAGCAAGTGTAATGTAACATAAATGTGATGTCAATTTAGCTTGCACATTTTATAAAAAAAAACAAAAAAACATACAACTTGTATAACAAGTGTGTGTAATACGCCCCAAAAAAATGTTTCATTATTTTCAATAATATGTGCACTTATTTGATAAAAAGAACATCACACTTGTCATTTAAATTAAATTTTATTAAAATTTTCAAGAAATGTTATAATGCTCACCCAAGGCTTGCTTGAAATTGTTTAATAAAATTTCATATTATATATACTGCATGTGTAGAAATATAGATGTAGAATGTAAATATAGAAAAGTTTTCGCGATCTTTGCGGTGATACTCTGTATGCAAATTCATTTTTAGCATGAATATTTCTATCAATAATTTCTTAAAAATTCATATTTCCGCGCTTCTATACAACAATGTAATCACTGTTTTAATGCTTTATGAAAATGTGTTTTGTTTTCCAAATTTTTCATCAGTTAAAATTGTTTATTATGTTTGTTTTGTTTGTTTTAAAAAACCCAAAATATCATCTGTTTACTGTAGATGTCAAGACATTTATAACGCAAACTGAAAAATCATGCATGTTAACGTGCATTCTTTTGTTTGCCATATTGTTTCAGCCAGACAATATCTTTGTACTGAACAATAGCGTATTGTTTGACACCAGGTTTTGGAAATAACTGTGAACTTCCATGATGATTACAGTTATTTTCCTTATTTTTTTAACCTGAGCGGTCTACGCGAATTTATGATTTTCGGCAGTCAAATCCGCAAATTCTAAATAGCGCAAATATTTGTATAGACCCCCAAAGTGGACCTTTCCGGAAAAATTTGCCTCTGCGAATTCAAATACACATACAGTAACCTATTTTGAGGGCCGACCGCTAATGTTGTAAGAACTTGGGCCCAACCTGTTTGCTTTTGCTGTTTAGAATACATATGAAATTTGTATCTGTATTGTATATACATGTATATAGCAATAAAATATGATTAAATCTATATTGAGGTCTTATCATGAACAAAAATGTTGTTATTTTTGTGACACTGTTTCATAGGTTAATATTGATACTTAAAAATATAATTCACTTTACGGCAGAAATGTCATATATAACTTCATGGATTTTTGTTAATTTCAAGCTGTAATTGATACATGTAATAAATACTTCCATATAATCAGATATGGTGTAAATCAGTGAAATGCAATAATTTGCTGTAAGGTCTTGGGGCTCTAAATGCATGATCGTGCTTCTGCAGATGAGATGAGTTTCTGACCCTCTTGTTACATTAAGCCCCCGAGTCATTCATCAAAAACCATCAACAATGGCACATGCTCACGTGATTTTATCTATTAAACACATGTTTGCTTTCAGGTTTTATGAGTACCTGCATGCACAAATTTCATGCAACAATTATCCAAAGAAATAATTTTCAGCAAATTTACACAGAACATTGTTTATTTGTAGAAATCAACCATTTTTGAAGAGACCTTTGCAAGGTTATTTATAGAGTTGCTTTCCTTTGTAGAAACTTTATTGGTAAAAGATTTTTCATTTCTATTTGTAGTTAAACATGTATATTTCTTTAATGTTGTATTCTGGATAAGACTTTCCATTTTCTTTCGCTTAATAAATATTCAGTATACATGTTGTTTAAAATGTGTTGTTGTTTTTTTATTCGTCAAAAATGTGTATTTCAGTAAAGGACCAGGGCAGGTGTGTTGTTGGATTACAGCCCTTTATTATTTTGAAATGGACAGTTTGCGAATCCAGAGCCATACCTTAGTATAGTAAAGTCCTCTACTAAGAACCTCCATTTGCTCTTCACAATTCAGACAGCTGGTGGTTATGCAATAAATGTTTCAAAATATATTTTTAAAAGTAATAACTGTAATGTCTTAAGATCTTGAAAAAGTGATTATTAAATTTTCATTACATCTTTTATTTGCATGTTACAAGTTACACATACAATTAAAAACAAGAATGCCCACAGCACAGATTCTTATTGGTAACATTTTTTCAAAAAAAGTTGGTCCATTCACTCAGTTATGTCAAAAAAATTGTAAACAGTTAAATAACAGAGTCATGACATTTTGTTATCGTGAAAAATTTAAGTTTGTCATTGCTATGTGATGAATTTCAATTAAATCGCATACCTCTTTTATCAGACTACAGACACACTGCGATCACTAGCTGTGTATTATTTTTCTCTGTATTGAACTGGGCATCACATAGGCACTTATGTATGCAACCAGGACTAATAAATAAACAACATGATAATAGTTTGACAACAATACTTTTTATTAAGGTACTAATAACCTTGTGGCCGTAACTGGCTGCAGACGGGCAAAAACCCATAAATTTTTTCCAGTCCCAGGGGAGACTACTGACTGCCTTATTACACTGGCAAGTCAGTGACCCAGGTTTACCACCTGGTGTCAGTCCCGAAAGTTAAACACCCTTAAGTGGACAGGTGTTAGTGGGCTGCCCAGATTACATCTGACTCCTGAGCAAACTAGGGTCCCGGACGTAGCCCTGCCCTGGGCCTCCCCTCCATACATAGAGGTGGAGGGGGGTGCCAACGTTACCCTGGAGTGCACCCCACCAAAAGACTAATACAATGAACCTGCATGCTTTCAAGCAAGTCGGGCCAGGAGAAAGAGCCAGGCAGTACCCGTAACCCCCTTTTTCGTCTCCCCGAACCGCTCCCCCGACTAAAATTGTGCCCTCTGCACCTGTGCAAAACATAAACTTATATCAAGTGAAATATAGGACACTTGTTAAGTTCTTAAAGTGTTATTAAACAATCTGAGATAAATGTCACTGCTTTTTCTATGATGAGGTAACCGTTAAACACACCTTGGTTCTATGTAACACGTCTTTAGAATAAGTAATATTGCACAGTTCTGTTCACCATTTTTAGAAGAATGTTTGATTTATACTTTGACTTTAAACACACGCTAAATAAAATACCCAGTTCGATTTGACTTGAAGAAATTCCGTCCCATTGTTTATAATGCCCGCTGCTATTGAATAGAATGACTATCAGCAGGTAATGTCTTCCATTAAATAGTGTTAAACAAGATCCTGTGTTAACAGTTCTGATGTCCACTGCTATTTAATAAAATGACTATCAGCAGGTCTTCCTTTATGTACCAAGATTAAATAGTATTAAACAAGATCCTTTGTGGTCCATATGAAATCTTGATGGGGATGACCTGAGAAAATTGACTTCCTCTGAGGGTTGGCAACTGTAATACTCTTTAAACAAGCAATTATCATAGTATTGCAAGCAATCCATAAGTCCCCTACCGGTTAGAACCCCAGCAACTTTCTGATGGGCCATTGGCCAGTCAATTTTACCAGTGAATGAATGACATGAATGAACTTAAATCTTTTGAGTTCTAAGTTTGTCTATATCACAGTAATGTGTTAAGTTTCCCTGCCTAGTAAGGAAATTATGTTTATACAACCTTGTCGTATTATTACGATGTGGGATTTTAAAGTAAATCCTATAATGAATGAAGAAGTTGGAGTGAAAAATACCAATTTCTCGAAAAAAATCTAAGTTCAAGGGGGACATAATTCTGGAAATAGTCTTGCTAGAGTATTTAACCTTCTCAAAAATGTTGAGTGATAATAAGAAACATATATATGAAGTTTGAAGTAGATACATTAGGAAATAAAGAAGTTATTTAAAAAAGACAACATTTTTTTCATAAAAATTCTAAGTTCAAGGGAGGTAATACTGATAATTTTTGTGCTAGAGTTGTAAACCTTGTCGCATATGATGTGGTTGATGACCAGAAACTTATATTTAAAGTTTGAAGTAAACACCTTAAGAAATAAAGAACTTATAGTGAAAAAGCTGAAAAATTTAAATCAGAAATCTTGAAATTCAGGCTATTTGTTGCCATAGCAACCAGAATTTTCAACATGGGAGGAAAAAAAAAGACGTGCATAATCTCCATACTGCCATCTATCCATATCTCAAGTTTCATAAAAATATTTTTAGTACTTTTTGCGTTATCGCGGGATCCAGTTTATGTGTTCAATTTGCCATATTTTCAGGCTATTTGTTGCCATAGCAACCAGAATTTTCCACATAGGAAGAAAAAAAAAAAGACGTGCATAATCTCCATACTGCCATCTATCCATATATCAAGTTTCATAAAAATATTTTCAGTACTATTTGCGTTATCGCGGGATCCAGTTTATGTGTTCAATTTGCCATATTTTCAGGCTATTTGTTGCCATAGCAACCAGAATTTTCAACATAGGAAGAAAAAAAAAGACGTGCATAATCTCCATACTGCCATCTATCCATATATCAAGTTTCATTAAAATATTTATAGTACATTTTGCGTTATCGCGGGATCCAGTTTTGTGGACGGACTGACAGACGGACGGAGGGTAAACCTAAAGTCCCTCCGGTTAAACCGGTAGGGGACTAATAAAGAGTTCCTGAAATAGAAGAACAAAAGCAGCAGAAATATGTTCTAAAAAGGGGTGGGCGGGTGGGTGCGTTTTTATTTTCAAAGCACGTTTCTTTGACGAAAGTTTTCGGATAATGGTAAACCTCCTTTGAAGAGTATTCAGTACGGTCTAAATTCCGTACTACGGTACCAGATTAAACGCGCACCGACCTACCCAATAGATGATGCGTTTAAGAAGGATTATCGAATACAAGATTCTATATAATCGCAATTAAATCGCATACCTCTTTTATCAGACTACAGACACACTGCGATCACTAGCTGTGTATTATTTTTCTCTGTACTGAACTGGGCATCACATAGGCACTTATGTATGCAACCAGGACTAATAAATAAACAACATGATAATAGTGCAAAAACCCATAAATTTTTTCCAGTCCCAGGGGAGACTACTGACTGCCTTATTACACTGGCAAGTCAGTGACCAAGGTTTACCACCTGGTGTCAGTCCCGAAAGTTAAACACCCTTAAGTGGACAGGTGTTAGCGGGCTGCCCAGATTACATCTGACTCCTGAGCAAACTAGGGTCCCGGACGTAGCCCTGCCCTGGGCCTCCCCTCCATACATAGAGGTGGAGGGGGGTGCCAACGTTACCCTGGAGTGCACCCCACCAAAAGACTAATACAAAAGACTAATACAATGAACCTGCATGCTTTCAAGCAAGTCAGGCCAGGAGAAAGAGCCAGGCAGTACCCGTAACCCCCTTTTTCGTCTCCCCGAACCGCCACAAAAAATAACATTTTTTCTTCCAACGTGATGAATTTCAATTATATTCAACTTACCATTAAATATTTATCAAATACATGTATACATATATAAATGCAAGAACTTGAGACTCCAAACTCCAACCAAAATAAAAGGACCACTTAAGGTATGTTCCTTCTAAATATGAGATATTGTTAAAATATTACAAAGGCTGTATAAGATCAATGCTATATGTTCCTTCAAAATATGAAAAACATCAGTCTGTAAATTTACACTGTATAAGCAAATGTGGAGGAATCTATTCCATGACCTACTGACCCTAACTCAATCTAAAGAAAGAATACCATGCAAGTTATCTTCCTATCAAATATGAAAGACATATGAAGGATGCATGGCCAAAAGTAAAAAAATCTATTGACTTGGACAAACTGACCCCAGAGTAACTCTGTACAAAGGATGAATACATACCATGCAAAATATCTTCATACCGAATATTTCACACATCTGTCAATAAATAAAGGCTGTATGGGGAAAGGTGTAAAAATCTTTTAGCACTGGTGACCTTGACCCTTAACTCAATCCTAAGGAAGAAGACCATGCAAATTATCTTCCTGCCAAATATGAAAAACATTGGTAACAATTAAAGACTGTATAAGCAAATATGTAGAAATCTATATTATTTGCACCATTTGTGACCTTACCCACCAACTTACTCAATCCAAAGAAAGACTACCATGCAAATTATCTTCCTTCCTAATATGAAAGATATCATTCTGTCAATAAATAACCTCCCTATGTATGTCCATTTTGACATAATTTAGACATTAATTTAAAAATAGAGGCTGTATGAACAAAAATGTTAAAATTTCATTTTTACACCAATTAATAGCCTCGATCTTTTACATTCATTGAAGGTCATATATAAATTATTCAACATGTCAGTTTTGTCATAACATGTCACTTTGTGTTAAGAGTTTGAAATTTTATAGTTAAGATTATTTACAAGTTAAATTCAGTCTAGCCTTTTTGAAGGGTAGTGTCCAAGTATGATGACAGTCTAATAAGAATTGAAAAAGTTATGATCAGTGTTAAAGTTTACAGGCAGCAAAACACTATAACTCTATACTCTTTTACTTGTAGTTATATTGGTTGAATATTATATAAAATAGTAATAAACAAATCTAGTTTAAACAATAATATAATTTTATTGTATTAAAACAGATTATAAACAATGAAAAAGTGGAATTTATTTGTATCACAATATTAAGAAATCACATTAATATTACATTTATGTCCCACATTGGAAGAATGAGTTGCAAAATATACAAATGTAGAATCTATATTCCTTTAATATTTTTCCCCAACTGACTGAACAATGTTTTTTTTATATTTTTAGTTGGGGTTTCAAGTTCCATTAACTTTATATAGGTCACCTCAACTGTATGAGGAGGCTGCCATGACTGTGAGGTAGTTAGCGACCCTAATCAATAAGAAAATAAAACCACTGTGCATTACATACAGAAATACATTCTAAATTGCACACAAGAGCTATAGTTTTTAATGATAACATACTTTGTTCATGACAAAAATATAGCATTTAACTGAATCAATTATGAAAAGAAGCAACAACATTTGTGTTATCCAGAGGATATTACAGAACTCTTATTACATTATCTCTAAAACTAAATAAGAATATCACTGAATGTGATGCACATTTGTCCATGTATTCAATGCACATTAGGTCAGTCTCTTAACCTTGACCCAGTTGACCACTTCTTCACCCCAATGTTATAGTATCAGCCAAGATATTTACATACCAAATAAGAAAGACTTCAAACGATAAATAAAGGCTGTATAACCAAAAAATTAAAATCAATTCTGTTAAAGTTTTATCAAAATCTAATAGATTAAGGGAGAGATATCATTCATGTCTGCAAAAGAACTTATCAGATGAACAACTGTTTCAAGTACATGTAATTTGAAATATTTATTTCATAACAAGTCTAAATAAGGTATTGCATTTTGATTAAGTATAAAACACTTAGTAATAATAATGAATAATACAATTAACACATTCTTAAAATATTAACAGATATATAAGAAATAGAATACAAAATATATAAATGTATATGGCAATGCCACAAAACCAGGTTTTCAATTATTACCATACTAGAAACTTTCGATTGATTTGGAATACAAATGAAACATAAGTGATAAAAATATGTGGAAAATTTTAATCTTGGTTTTTTAATCAGTTGCAGTGATTGGCAAGCAAAGATTGAACTTGATTTTTTTACCCAGATATGCAATGGACCAGAATCATTTGAGCTTCATGCTAAGTCGTTTCTACATTTTATCAAATTTGATTTTCTAAAGGCAAATATTTTACATTATGGTTGAATTTTTTATCATTTTTAATTGCATAATCCAAATACCATCTTTTAATTCTACATTTTACTAGAAAGAACTAGAAACTAACAACAGGTAACATGTTTATTTACCCTCGCCACTGGAATGAACCATATTGGCGCAATATTGCAAGTTACATCCTACTTATATCAGACAAACAGAATTTGAGCCATGAAGATATTTACCCAAGCATCAATGATGATGATGTCTGGTGGGTGGTGACAATTATAAGTATTACCCAGATTAGCATATAAACCAATCAAGAACATATCAAAGGTAAATCTCTTGGTAACATGATCAATTTTGGGATAGTCTTGTGTCTAAATGTATAATCAAATTTTTCATGATTTCAATTTGAGCAACTGAAGTATTATTACTATAGAAAAAAATTCCTGGTCACATGATCAATTTCTGGATCCAGATCTCAGTCATACTACAATTTAATCATGTCTGGAAGGTAATTAATAATCATATAGCAGGTTTTTTTTCAAAGATTATTATTATAGTGGGTGTGGGGTGGGGGTGACAATAATTAGTTTGAAACCATTTTTTTATTTTTAGTAACAGTGACCTTGACCCTAGCGGGTCCAAAAGCAATCCATAACAAGATCTCTACATGAGCTTACCATATCCTTACTATAATTATTACAATAAGTCACTCCTAACTCTAATTATTGTCACTCCTAACTCTAGTTATTGAAAACCGTTTTCTACTTTTAGTAACAGCGACCTTGACAGTAGTAGTCACAAATGCATACCCAAGCAATGTCAAATATTAGCTCCGTATAAACAAAGTTTGATTACAATACCTCTTTTCTAATTTTAGTAACAGTCATCTTGACCCTAGGGCCCTCAATAGCAATCTTGTGTGAGGTCTCCACATATTTTATTCTTAACTCAAGTTATTGACTGGAAACCACCTGTTTAACAGTACCCACCTACCCTTCACATATCTTATAACCAGGATTTTCATAATTGAAAACTTGGTTAAAAAGCACTTACGAACTTTCGCTATACGTATATGCAGTATTTCGATAGAGCGGAAGTCAGTGCACGAGCATGCGCTTTGCAATATCTCGTTCAGTTACCGCTCACGTTTTAAACTCGGTTGCTATGAAGCTACACTAAGTGTACATGGCTTTTACAACTAAAATATCAGACAAACACATTAAAACAATACACATAAACTACACATAGCTGTTTTCCATATTAATATTTTCCATTTGAAAAACAAACATCTCAATATTCTTACCGATTTAATGTATTGTTTACATGTGATAACAGCAACGCTGTGTGTTAGATTACTTTCAGTTCAGAAAATTCATTTGTTTACCATCAAAACTCATATGTTTACCATAGGAACCATATATAGATAGAAAGCAAATTAAACAAAGGTAAAGAAAAAATTGTCCGTTTCTGAACAAAAAATCGAATAAATAAATACAAAGTCTTTTTAAAATGTCCCTTCTTTGAGTTCATTTGAAAGGGGAATAATTTGGTGGAATTTTAGACAGGGAAACAGGGAGTTATCTTACATGGCTAGGGAAAATGGCCGACTGAAATCATGCAAGCAAGTTTGTAAGTGAAAAATGCATTACACTACCCCACATAATATCAGTTGTATCAGTGGTATATATAACTATATAATTGCAACATTAAAATTATTGTTCATTAAAAAGTTAACAAAGAAAACTAATAATATTTAATTAGGTTAATAAATGATCACAAATTATCACTAGATAACTGCAAAATTGGTCATTATTAATAAACTATAGAATGGTAGACTTATCAATCCACAAAAAAGTATTAATCATTATAAATATTTACCAAAACACAGTACTAATATAACTAAATGCAATAGAACTTATTGCAAAACCAAACGGGCCAGGGTGGGTGGGCAAAAAACATGATCACAACTACAAAATAAGTAACAGAATGACAAGCAAAAGAAGAATTACTTATATATAGGAAACTTAACAACATATCAAATGCATAATAATTACCTATATATAGGAAACTTAACAACATATCAAATACATAATAATTACCTATATATAGGTAACTTAACAACATATCAAATGCATAATACAAATTTAAAATAATCCAATAAGAAGTCTAAAAAATAAACTGTTAACCAACAAGATAAGTTGATATATAACCAAAGGTCAACTTGATTCAAATAAAGAACTTTATCACTCACAAGAATTAATCGGTTTTAACAGGTGTATTTAGATATGTAATATTGGTTAAGGTACATAATATATAAATGATAAGTCTAGTCTTCAGCTAAATATATACATATATATATACATGAATGTCCGAACGCTCTTCAGAGTTATTATGTTGAGTTAAGTTTCGGTTCCAGTATAACAGAAGACAGTGTGATCTTTGCACCATACCAACCAGCCCAGAACTGAGTATCTTTACCTCGATGATAGTATTTGATATACCTCACACCTGGATCATAGTCAGTAAATGTATGTTCTGCCTATAAATTAAATGAAACAAACATTTGGTATGTATTATATGAGGAAGTTCAAAGAAAGCATTTTTAATTACTGACAAACCTTGCTGGTCTCAAAATTTATCTAAACTTTGAAGATTGATAATGATTACTTTAGCATACTTCACTGTAGGCAAAAGAAAATAATTATTATAAAGCCAAATACATGTATGCTCCTTATGTTCATTTCGGCAATGGTAAATTTTCATGCATGAACAGTATCAAAATATTTACAAAAGGTAAATTAAAAGTATTGACTTGTTCAATAAAAAGTATTGACTGGTTCAATACTGGCAATATCAAGGGGTATGTGTGTGAAGTGCTCGCTTGAACCAAGTGTGAAACCATTTCACATCCTGCCCCTTGAATATTTAGTGGTTGGCCATTTCAACAAAGTTGACTTGTACATATTCTAAAAATTTGTTGTGTCAGCAATATTTCTACCTTAAACCATTCCCGACCAGCAGGTTGTGAATCATCAAATGTCCACTCCTTTACAGCTGTCCTGTCATTTTTCAACAGCTCTACTTTGATACAATACTCTATACCACAGTCAAACCTGGCCGCATACCTGCAGGAAACCAAGACATATTTTTGTACAGGCAAAATGCTAAATATCAATTCTAGTCTCTTAAATATTGGAGGAAATTTTCTATTTTTGCCCTTGTAAAAAAGTTATCAAAGTGTGACACTATATCTGGACATGCTACGAGACAATGTATTAAATATTTTAATTTTCATAGACAATATTCTTTTACATGATTTTTAAGCATAAATCCTGTAAAATGCTGACAACCTAGTTGAAGTTTTGATATCATTCCTTAACATGAAATCTGTATAAAACATTTTTTCAAGAAAACATGATCACTATTAAAGATACTAGTTTATTTTATGCTTTTCAGTGGATTACTGATTTATCCGTGAAAATTATCAAAATATATAATTTCACACTTTTCAATGACGAAACTACTTTTTTAAGATTTTCCCCATGTGGTACCTCAATTTTACTTTTGATGAAAATTTTTGACAATGTCAGGCTGTTTAGAGAAAAGCAAAGCTGAAATTGATAAATAACTTAAATGTCAAAAGTAATAAAAAGAAGAAAACTTACTTCTATTCATCCAAATTACCAAATATCGTCTCTTAATTTTTTTGTTTCAATTTTTACAGTCTGAAAAATACATTCCTTCCACATGCAGAACTGCTCTTGATGACATTTGGGCATATTTAAGTATCCTACATGCAATAACTGCCGTATGCTTTATGAAAACTTGAAAAGCAATGACAGCCATCACCATGAAGAATAAGTAAACAACCCAGCGTTTGTAAGGCAGCCTTTCAACACTTATATATTGTTTGTTACAAACCTCAAATAAGTTTTCTTTCTTTTAAAAAGGTGTATGACTAACAAATCCAAATGATATCCCTCTGAATCAAACACAATTATTTTCCTCCCGTGAGATACACAACATTTCAAAATCGTGGCCGCTTACATTTAACAGAGTCAGGTCTAATATAGATTCGCAGTAAGTAACAGAAATATAGATGGATGGTTGGACTTTTTCTCCTACTAGAATTGTTTGTTTTTATTATTAAAACAAGTGATCATTCATATTTTTTTAATAAAATAAATAATATCACCGCCATTTAATGTTGATTATCGAACTTGTTTTCCAGCCCAAGACTTCTTGTATTTTATGAGAAAATCGACTAATGCATGTACATAATAGAGGCTACCAGTGGGGAAAACAGATTTTAATATTAAAGTTAATATCAAGGAAATTTCGTTTTAACTTGTTTTTAAGCATAAAATAAAAAGAAAATTTGTTTGTTTGTTGTGTAAGATGTAATTTTATTTTATCTCGTGAACTTTAAAAACAGTATTCTCACTTGTGGCTATGCCACTCGTGAGAATACTGTTTTTAAAGCTCACTCGATGAAATAAAATTTCATCTTACACACAAACAAACAAATATCCTCTATATATTAGGACATTGTGGTCTCGACTGACGTTGACTGCATGTTCTGTCCTCTTAAATTGTTCAATAGAGGTTTGACAACTTAGATCTCTCTACTTTGCAAACATTTAATAACCCAGTTCAATTTCTTGAACACTTGACTACAGAATCATACATGTCTCAGACTATACAAATCATATGTACATAAATATCAAGACTTACCATTCAGACACATGTATATCTGGCCGTAAATCATCTAATACATGCTCACTACATCCCCTCTCTATCAAGTCTATTGTCTGAGACTTGCTGCATTCAGAGTAAGATGTAACCCAGCATCTAGTACCTGATATAAAATTGGCAATTTGTATTTATTATAAAATTAACATCAAATTAACACTGAATGTACAATTACACAAAACTAATAAGCTTTTCACTTGAGTCACAAATAGAATACATGTAAGTAACTTTCAAAGTTCTGAAAAGAATTAATCTTAAAAATCAATGAGACATTGGAAAAAAAAAATTAAGATAATTAATTTTATCTTTTAAAGCAGCACAAATCCAGACTCATGCAATATCCCACCAAATCTGAACATCTTTTTTTTATTAAATAAACTGTTAACTAATCAAAATTAATGTCATGTTAATCCTGCCACAAGTCAGTATCACTATGCATGTTTTTTTATTATTTTTTTCCCCTCAAAAAGTCAATTATATGGTTAAAAGAACTTAATTATTATTAAATAATTATATTTTTTCCATGTTGACTTATGTTGTATTATTATTTTACCTGATGTAAGGTCCATTTCAAAATGACCTAGCCCATACTGACGTCATTTAGGGTCCGTGTCACAATTAACATGGCATTTTCTTGGTAATTGTAAAATAATGATTATTTTTATTTAATGACTGATCAACATTTAAATGTTATCATTAAGTCAATAAGAGGAGCAATGAGAACAAAAAAATGATGTAAAAACGCAATTTCACTAGCAAACAATGATGTTTTAAAATAAATGCCAATTAAAACCAATTGAAGAGAAATACCTGACTTTATAAATTCTAACATACAGCAGATTTATATAATTACATGTATGTTGATATTCTGTCGCGATTTTTAATTTATTTTGAAGGGAAAAAGAGCAATGACGTAACTTAACTAGATAGTTTTTAATTGTATTTGACTGTTATAAAATGGACTTAAGGGCCATAATTATCGTCCCTCTATTTCATTTATTGAAATAAGGGCCATCCTTGGGCTATTATTCTACAACTACAAAATGAATCTGTGTTTTATGGCCCACATACCTTGTTGATAGGAGAAGTGGATGAACAATGTCATTCCAACATTCCACTTCTGATTTTATAAATTTATTGCTGTGGGATAAAAGTTATGTCAGGTGTACAATATAAGTTACTTTTGACAATCTTTTTCTGTAAGTCAAAAATATGCAAAAATAGCCTGTACTTTGTTGGTAACAGTTTTTTTAAGACACTTCATTCTACCATACCTTTTGATTGTTCTGTCCCAGTATATTCTTCCAAAGGATTACACCCAACAGGTAATTCTACTTTCCATTTATCTCCACCACTATGATGAATTTTCCAATGATCAAAGTCTGTAAAGGTGACACATACATTGTAAATGGTTACTAAACAGGACAAGAATAATATTGGATTCATTTTTTACAAGAAAATCTGTTTGCAACTTATGCTACTACACTTTTATTTATTCTCATATATATTTTGGAAAAGGCACAGAACAATTATCATACCAAAACATCTTTACTTAAAACAGAATTGATTTTAATTATGAATCAAATAACTTTTTTTTTTCTCATGAATTATTTCATACACTGGTGAATATACATTGTATTATAGCCAACATTGAAAAAAAACTTGCAGGTTGAACTCTTGAGATTTTAAGAACTTTTTTTAATATTCATACACCCATCATGCTCAACTTCAAAATAAAACATGATAACGTTTTTGAGAATATAAAAATAAGCCCAATTGTCCTTGCTTTTTATATTTGCATTTTATATAATTTCTGAATGCTAATATATTTTGAATTGATGTGGTTAATGAAAGTCCTAACAACTTCAAACTAAAATATAATCAACTGTTGTCAACATTCCTACACATGATAGGGTCAATAGTCTTATCGCAAAATAATTTCCTGACAGCTTTAAATTAAGTTTAAGGAAGTTTACTTTATTGTAATAAGATGTGGTTTGTTTTGTTGTTTTGTTTTTTTCCTGAATTTAAACTCACCATCCCTAGCATCTGGGTTCTTTATCAAGTTTGTGTAATATGGTCTTTTGAAGTATAGTTTTTTAAAATCTTCATCCACTAAAACATGGAACAGTTTTTCTGGATACCCATTATCTTTTATACATAACTCTTTCCAGAATGTCTGGGTATTGATCACATTATTCCATTGTTTACAAACAAAAACACATGATTTAACTATATCTCTAGCTGGTACCCGCTTCAATACTTCTGCAAGGACATCGTCTGGTACTTCTGTCAATGGTAATATACCATCAGCCCACTCATATTCCTTATTATTATCTTCTGTACATACTTTTTTTGGTTTAGTTTGACTAATCTCCCGTCCTGATGCTTGTCCCATAGTGGGAATTTAGTTCACTGCAAAATAAAAACACATAGAAGCAAAACATACTATGATCTTATCAACATCTTCTCACTAGTCCTTATAAAAGCAAATTATTTTTGAAAATATTCAAGAACTATCATCAAATTATTAATTGAAAAAATTGGTTTTTAGCAGGGTGGTCTTTATTCTAAAGTGGTCAAAAGTACTTGGTTTTTACTGTAATTGTAAAGAACTGGGTCAAAAATTAACAATCCATAAGCTCTTATTAGCCATCCATTTGCACAAATATTTCAAAACACCAAATTCAAAATTATTTCAACTGACATATCCCGGAACAACCAATATTCAACCAGTTATGCTGTTGTTGTTTTTTTAGCTAATAATAAATGGTAGGGGAAAATGATGCTTTAACTTAATTGAGCTATTAATGCATTAGCCATATATCAACATTTATTCATTTTCAGGTTGGTACATTTTAAACAAGTCATGATCTTTATTTGAAAAACAATTAAAACAATATGAAGCATTCAGTGTCATTCCCTGGAGGAATAGTTTAACCTAAATTCAAACAGCATGGTATGCACCAGTGAATAATTTGTTCAGGATATGTCTGAGCTACTAAAATTGTAGAAAATTTCACAACAGTCTACTCAACAATTTTTTCTAGATTTAAAAAAAAACTTACACTAAATTTTATAACATATGTTCAGTACGGCTGTTCATGTGTACAAAATGGGCAGCTGAAGGTGTCATTTCTTAGTATGCTAACTGGGGTGCAAAATGGTAACTGCATCCAACCATCACAGCCATTTTACCTTCCCCAACTTTATAACATTGCCAAATATTGAAACTTGCCAGTTGGTGTAAGTTACAAAAGATCTATTCTACAATCATCATTTGAAAAACAAGAACTGTGACATAAGTGACGAATGCCCTCGAAAAGGTTTCTTAAGCATGCAGGTATTATGAAAAGAAAAGAGAATGAAAGTAACTAATTGCTTAATATTGTTCTTGTGAAATGAAGTGCTATTTATAGCAAACTAAACACCTAAAAATGTGTGCTAGAGTAAAACTAGAAATTGTGTCCATAGGACACGGGTGCCCCCACACTCCACTGTTTTGTCAATCTTATGACTCTAGGTCAAATATTTTTGGGGCTACATGTGCCAAAAGTTGTAAACTAAAAATCTTTTACTAAGTAAAGGGCAAGAATTTTACAAATACCGAATAAATCCTCAAGCAAACCCCAAGGTGCACAAGTACACGTGCTGACCAACATTCTTGTACACAGGGAAAGGGAAAGCGATAGAAATATCATATTCAGATGCTCGTTGATTGGTTACTTTTCTCTGGGGTTTCATATTGTGACGACAGGGAATGTGTTTTTTTGTTTGACTATGATACAAAAGAGAAAGAACATCAAAACACTCGGCAATCTGATTAATACTTGGGGGCTACGCCCCCTTGTACAAATCAGATAGCCTCGTGTTTCGATGCTCTTTCTATAACTTATGTTTTAATTTATCTAAGCAGTCCAATTATATATATACTAGTAAACACTTTGAAACAATGCTTTTCAAAATTTAAACAGCAATATTTCCAAAGCGCTCAAAAACTAAATGTTCTGCATCTGAAACATGGCAATATATCCTGTGTTGTCTCAAAAAAAAAAAAATTTGAAATTGGATTGCTGCACTCCCTTGTAAATCTTCGCCTTCATATTTTACAATTTTGATCTCAGGAATCCTTGACATTTAGGAGGAATCCCTGAATTAAATCTCAGGGATTCCTGTGGGATCCCTAGTAAAAAAAATTTGTGTCGAACCCTGAATGCACATGAATGTTAGGTAAAAACATTTTTAAGCTCAAACTGTTAGTAGAATATTTCATTAAATTACTGACTGATCCATTATTGGCTATGATCCATTATTGGCTATTAAAACACTGTACTCGCGAAACCGCAGGTGCACAACTTCACATTCTGTTAAACATTCCTGTAAAATTTGTTGACTCTAGCCTAATTAATTTGATGTGAACTGTTTAAACATTTTACAAACATTTTTTTTCATACTGTCAAACTGTTACAAAAAGACATCACCCGTCCAAAATTATCTCGATGTAGCATAGTTGTCTCTTTGACCACGGATTTATATTACAGGGATCGGACACTCCCAGTTAAACCTATATAAATGCTTAAATATCTTGACATGCAACCGATAAGGGTACATCGATCGATAATTTACCCGCGCCAAGCGTAAATGCCCGTTCGCAACGGATACCTACTTTACAAAATACTATACAGCTTTTCCATTTATTATCCGATTTTGGAAATTTAAAGTTTATTTTGAAGAAAAATACTTGTTTAATTCAAATATTTAATTTATTTTTTAAAGGTACAGTTTATCTGTCCGCAACGACGATTAAAAAATTAACTTGACGAAATCCGCGGTAAATTTTCCTTTGTTTTTTATAAAAAGCAGGTATTTAAAATTTATTTTACGGTCCCATAATAATTTCAGTTTCAAAATAAAAAAGAAGCCGATGTAAGTTATTCACAGATGATCAAAGATGCAATATTTAAGATTTATTGTGTTATGTAGTCAAATTTATTAACGCACAACTGTTTTACGGGTAGTGTATTGCGGCCTTTACAATTCGCTCAACACATGAAGAAAATTTATTCACCTTTTTTCAGTACAACATATTGCTGAGATTGCCATATTCATAGAATATTTAAATTTCATTCATCATTTATATCATTATTATTTTTTGTAAATCTGTTTTCAAATGTCGGTGCAGTGAAGTAGACAATCATCGTAACAGTAAAGTTCTCTCGTGTTGCTGTCTCGATTCCGGCCTTTTTAATGTTACTCGTATATTTTTATCCGTATATTTTAATTATTCTTTTTATTTGAATACCTGTAGAAAGATATTTATGATACTTTTTAATGTAACGCTAGAAAAACAATAAAAATCTTACAGTTTGAGTAAGTTTTTTGCGAAATAAAAGTAACTTTTGATTATTTTTCACACATAGCTTAAATTCTTTCAAGTTTAATTACTTTTGATAATTAAAAAACTTTCACTACCAGGTTACATGTAATAATTGTAACACTCAATCTTCAAAAACAAATAGAATTTGAATGTATATTTTGTATGTGCTACAGTCTACAGTCCATGGCATGTGTGGTAAGAAAATGATTCTGAAGAGGATATATATAAATGCAATGTAAATCTATTTTCTTTATTAACATTTATAAATGAAATTGAAAATATACAACTAAATTTGTATAGTCCTTTCTTTGAAAAATAATGAAAATAAACATGTGATAAATAAATCATTTGACGTGAATTGTGAAGGATAACTATGAAAAAAATCTGTTTCAAAATAAAAAATAATTTTATAAAACATCTGCTCTCTATGCCAATAAAAGTTTCTTCCTTGCCAATCTAATGAATTCATCTATATATGAATGTTTGTCTAGAATGATCTGAAAATATATTTAATACACTAATTAGTAGAATATTTACAATATTTATACTAATATACAGGTAATCAAATAAAAAATGTACAAATCATTTGGAAATAATTAACAGAAATAAAGACACATTTCAAACATGAATTTCTTTAAAAGTTTTTTAGCAATCAAGAAACATGTTTTTGCAAGGCCACCATTAAACCATGTAAAAAATAATTATCTTATTCTGAATCGCGGTAATAATTCGTGCTTGAAGTAAAAGGGCGCCAAAGTGTAGAGAGTAAGCCTTAACAATAGGCGAATATTTTTTAAATTAGGTACTTTTTAACTAAGCGTTGCAACGCTCTATCGGCATATTTTCATATATTAATACTTTAGCGACACAAAATAATACTGTATCAATACATTCATATGTGTATAATTTTTCTCAAAGCTGCAATAACACCACATACTCTTGTGAAAATCTGTCATATTTCGCACTCCGCGCGTTCCGCCATCTCATTCTGTCCACCTTTATCCGATTCCGCGCATGCATGCGTCGGGACTTTAAGCTAAACGAAAGTGTCCGATCCTTGTAATATAAATCCGTGCTTTGACAAGTCTAATTAGTTGGACTATGTTGACTCTAGCTCTAGACAGACGGACAAGGGCAAATCTAAGTGCCCCGCCCCCTTAGTTGGTGAACAAAAATGTGTGGGGCGAATCGTCAGGGGACGAATCGTCAGTGGGACGAATAGATAAAGCCCTCAAATTTTCCTAAACTTTTGTAAAAATATCGTGTTATATTTTCCTTAAATTAAAGGATAATTCTCTTTCGTCCCTGCGATTAATATGATATAATTTCTGTATATATTTAGATATTGTCTATAGATCTATTTTCATTTTTAAAATAAGTTTAGAAATTTAAGCCCTACCTTTCTAGACGCTTGTTTTTCACCAAGCGTTTGGAAGAGTTTTTTGGAATATCTGAAATTTAACGGAATGGAATTACACAATTTTAGATGCTGTGACACCAATTTTGAGAAAAACAATATAAATAATGATGATGGCATATCAACTTCGTCATCACAAGATCAGGTTACTTCTTCGTATTATACATCCACGATACCTATCATGTCAAAAATTTGTTTGTCACATGTTTTCGAGATTATCCATTCACACTAGATCTACTGTATTAATTTTCCCATAGACTTACATGATAAGAGACCACTAAACCAACCTCAAAATTGAGTATTCATGCTGAAGATTTGACTTTTCTAGAAGAATGACATGCCTGACACGAAATTTAAACTTGTGGTGTTGAAGGTAGTTTTCACTCTGGATCACGACAGTAAACCTCCGCATCATTCCTGGGCAGGCCGTCAAGCAGTTACCAGTACTGGTTGCTTTCACTTTCACAAGGAACTGAAACTTCTCTACATGCCAGAGCAGAGGTACAGTGCGAAAGGATTTCATGATAAATCACAACGAAATGATCTGGGCCATCTGGGAATCGAACCCTTGTCGCCAGATTCACAGTCCAACATTCTATCTATTGAGCTAACTGGACGGCTCAAAATTTTAACTGATCTTGTTTTATCTTTATAGGGTTGACCGACCAAATTTTTCGCAAAATGTCCCCAAAGATGATTACCCCCCTTTTCACTGAAATTTTCTGTTGATCATTGGACTGACAAAAAACTTTTTTGAAATGAAAATATCCAAATGAGCTAGTAATTATCCTAGACACTTATGAAACAGTTCATTTTCTTAAGAAACAATGCAGTGTTAGTTTCTAAAACAATTTTCATACTTGTGAACATTACATTTTCATCCAATCACCTGATGTCCCATTGAATCTTACAGTTTTCCCTCAATCGCAGGCCATGTTACAATAAGTTTTCCCTCAATCACAGGCCATGTTACAATACAGTAATCTGACCTCCGTCATTTGATATTTTTATAAAGCCCATGCCGGGACCCCATGCTGTGACCTCAACATGTTCAAGTCATTTCTCTTCAATTTAAAGCCATATCCTGATAATATATCCTACTGAAAGTTCCTGCAATAAGCATGTCTAGGATTTAATGATATTATAATAGACAATCTGTAAATTTATGGACTGTCCATAAACTGTTTTAATTGAAATAATCATGTTAATACTGGCACAGATTTATATTCCAGGGATCGAGACTCCCAGTTAACCCATAAAAATGCTTGTCTCGCACCGGATCGATAATTTACTGGCACTAAGCATATATAAATACAATATATATCTATTTAATAATTTTATTTATTAACAATTATTAATGAAATTGAAAATATACAACTAAAGTTGTATAGTCCTTTCTTTGAAAAATAATGAAAATAAACATATGACAAATAAATCATTTGACTCGAATTGTGAAGGATAACTATGAAAAAAATCTGTTTCAAAATAAAAACAAAATATTATAAAACAGCTGCTGTTCTGTATGCCAATAAAAGTTTCTTCCTTGCCAATCTAAATTAAATCTAATGAATTCATCTATATATGAACGCTTATCTTGAATGATCTGAAAATATATTTGATAGACTATAAATTAGTAAAATATTTACTATATTAATACTTATTTTCAGGTAATCGAATAAAAAAATGTACAAATCATTTGAAAATAATTCACAGAAATAAAAACAAATTTCAAACATGAATTTCTTTAAAAGTATTTAAGCAATCAAGAAATATTTTTTTAAAATGCAACCATTAAACCATGTAAAAAATAATTATCTTAATATGATTCGCGGTAATAATTTGTGCTTCATTGAAGTAAAAGGGGGTCAAAGTGTAGAGAGTTTTTCTAAACAATAGGCAAATATTTTTCTAAATTAGGTACTTTTTTAACTCATCGTTTCAGGGTTCTGTCGGCATATTTTTATATATTTATACTTTAGCGACACAAAATAATACTGTATAAATACATTCATACGTGTATATTTTTTCAAAAAGCTGCAATAACACCACATACTCTTGTAAAAGTCTGCCATATTTTGCTCTCTGCGCGTTCCACCATCTTTCATTCTTTCCACCTTTATCTAATGTGCAATTCTGGCGCGATTTTAAGCTTAACAATAGTGTCGGATCCTTGTAACATAAATCTGTGATACTGGGGAGGTTTATATTGTCATCCTGGGTACTACTTGCCC